TGCTTGGGAAGTTTTCTGCCATCACTTCTGTGAAAAGGTTTTTTTATGTCATTTGTACTCTCTCCTGTTTCTTCACTGACTCTGATCAGTCTTATGCTATTCTTCTTTGCACTGTCTAGCAGCTGCTGGATTGATTTCTCGTGGTTCTTTACAATTTTAAAGAAATTTTTCTTTTCCTTGTCACTAATTGCAATCTTATCTTCTATAATCTGAAATTCTGTCCTCACATTGCCTCATTCTGCTGTGTAAGCTTTCAATGGAGTTTTTAATCTCCTGGAAATCTGTTTGTATCTGTTTTATGGATTCCATTTGTTTCCTATATTGGGATTCCATCATGTTCCTCAGATCCTCTATTTTTTTTATCCGTGTCCTCTCTAGATTAATCATGTCTTGCACTATGAGCACAATCTCTGCTGTTATCTGAGAAATTATTTCTGATTTCAATTTCTCCAGATCCTCTTTTGTTGCCAGTTCAGGGAGTCCAGGTGGTTGAGTATCAGTGTTCCATCTTGTTTCCCTTTGGGTTGCTGTAGGTGATCTGGAAGTCTGGTTTTAAGGTTTGTTTACATGTCTTCTCATTTAGACGAGGGAGGAGGGTGCTGTTGGCACCTGTGCAGCTCACCTCCTCTGTGCTGGGAGCGGTGGAATGGCGGCCTGAGAGCCTCCTCCTGGGCTCTGGGATTGGCTCACCTCCTCTGCACTGGGAGTGGTGCTATGGTGGGCCAGGAGCTTCCTCCTGGGTGCTGGGATTGGCTCACCTCCTCTGCACTGGGAGTGGTGCTATGGTGGGCCAGGAGCTTCCTCCTGGGTGCTGGGATTGGCTCACCTCCTCTGCACTGGGAGTGGTGCTATGGTGGGCCAGGAGCTTCCTCCTGGGTGTTGGGATTGGCTCACATCCTCTGTGCTGGGAGCAGTCTTAGCTAATGAGTTTAGTTGGGTGTACATAGTTCCATATGCTGGACTAATCCATCCCACCCTTTTAAACCAAGCTACAATTTACGAATAATTTAATAAATGCATCTTGTCCCTCTAAACTCTTCCTACGTGGTTGACACACAACAGTTTTGTTTTGTTTTTTGTACCGGGGATCGAACTGGGGTCCTTGCACTTGCACAGCGGGCAGCAAAACCCTGAGCTAAATCCCCGGCCCTAACAGCATTTTTTGTAGAAATGACTGTTCCTGAAAGCTGGGCTGTGCCAAAGCTAAAATTACCTGACCAATTTGAGATTCCAAGCTTACCTCCAATTAGAGAGAAAAATCTGCCATCAAGGGCTCCCCCTACAGGCACTAAAATGCAAAGGATGAAAATTAGGCAGGGGTTATTTATGCCTAGGAGTGTTTCCCTTTCTTGTTCTTTTGAAAGTCTCTAACACAGAAAAGAATAAGCTTGTTTTAGACTTGTGCTTTGGCCTGTTTCTCTGAGATGAAAATTCACAAACTAGACACCCACGTTGCCTCACAATAGGTCACCTGAAGTATTCAGGTGTCTAGGGACCAAAGCTCACTGGGGACACTCAAGGACTGGAAGTCAGGAGGGGCTTGGTCATGTGCTGTGAGAACAGCAGAAAATGGGGGTCCTCAGCTAAGGTCCGACAGACTAACTTGGGGGAGCAATCAGCCTTGTTTCATGTAGCCCCACTAGTGGGTAAAGTGAATAGAAAGCAGATTTGATCTCATATAAAGGAAGAACGTTTTAATAATGAGCACTGTCCATTCAGAATGAGCTGCTTTATCTCAGAAAGTACTTAGGAAGAGACTGGAAGACCAAACACTGGGAGCACTGAGGAAGAAACTGACGAACTGCAGGAAACTAAGCCAGATTACATTTAAGATCCCCAGAATCTAAAATCCTGAGAACATATAATAAAACCCTGAAAACTGAAGTCTTCTGTCAGAAGGCTAGCCTGTATCCTCCCTGGTGTTATTCCACATTAAACCTCAACATCTTGTGTTTCAAGCTCTGATTCACTTTCCAAATAATTTTTTAAATGACACCAAAATCAAACTAGAGGACAGACTTCACCAATGTCACTTCTTGGCTTCAATGTTATACCATAGCTATGTAAGATGTTACCCCTGAAAGAAGCCAGGTGAAGGTTTCAGTGGATTTCTGTACTGGTTTGTTTGTTTTCTTGTACTGTTTTGTAACTTCCTGCAAATCTATACAGACATTCCTTGTTTAACTACCGAGTTCCAGTCTTGCAGCTAGGTCATTAAATGAATTTGGTCACTAAATGTGGAACTGTGTACATTTCAATATTCAGAACAAAGAAATAATCAAGAGAAACTCCAACTTGATGACTTTGTTTTTATTTATGTAACTCTTACATACTGTACTGAAATATATAATTGAACATAAAACTACAGTACAATCAACTAAAAATGCAGTACTATATAAACAAGGGGTACTGTACAAAAAGACACTGAGGCTCTGTAAACAAGATATACAGAAGTGCACACAAAAAAAGGTGGGTCATAAATCCAAGCAATGGGTCATAAGTCAAAACAGCACATCTCAGTTGTAAGTCCAGATAGTTGTTAAACAGGTAGGTCATTAAAAAGGAATATCTGTAATTATTTTGAATGAAAATGCTTTTTTTTGGTACCAGGGATCAAACTCAGGACCTTGGGCTTGCGAGGTAGGCAGCAGCACCACTGAGCTATATATCTGGCCCTGAAAACACTTTTTAAAAAAATCAAATTTAAGATGCTTTCCCAAAAGTGGGGCTTGGTGGTGCACACTTGTATTCCCAGCACTTGGGAGGCTGAGGCAGGAGGATTGCCATGAGTTCAAGGCCAGCCTGGGCTACATAGCCTGATCCTGTTTTTAAAAAACAAAAAAAAAGGCTGGGGATTTAGCTCAGTGGCTATGCCACCTGCCTCGAAAGCGCAAGGTCCCAAGTTCCATCCCCAGTACCACAAAAAAAATTATTTTTAATTAAAAAAAAAAAAAGCAAACCAAATACTCAAAAAACAACAACAGCAATTCCCCAAGACACTGTAAGTAATATCAAAGACAATGACTACAAACCAGTTTGGCTCAGGACTCATTAGCCACAAATGACTCTCTACAAGTACACAGGCAGTAGCATTCATTTTAAAGCCATGATCAATCAGTTTTCAGGTTTACAATTGTGACTAGGTAAGTCTCCAGTGTGCTGACAGGTGTCTTATACCCTTCAGTTATGTGGGATCACCTCATTAAAATCACCTATAGGCAACATGGTCTTACAACTGCTTCCCATATGGTACAAGAACTGTATGGACTTAATTACTGTACCTATCAAACTCAATATAATAATTTGCTTATGTATAACCTCCACAACCATGACTTGCAACAAGAACTGCATCTTGTTCATCTCATTTTATCACCAAAACTTAACCCACAGTAGGTTCTCAACTAGTTGCAAAATAAGTAAGAAATAAAACTAGTAATGATTTTTTAAGCTTTTGGGAGGTGATTTTTCTTTTCTGATACAAAGACATTGAAAGAAAGCTCAAGTCCTTATTTTGGAATCAAAATTAAATATATACATACATGTATATAACACAGTCTCCAAAACACAGAGGTTTAATTTCTAAAGATTTGGGAGGAGGGGTGGTTTGATACCAGGGATCGAACTCAAGACCTTGTGCTTGCGAGGCAGGCACAATGCCACTGAGTTAAATCCCCGGCCCTTTTTTTTGGTTGAGACAGGGTCTCACTATGTAGTCTAGGCTAGCCTTAGACTCGTGGTGATCCTCCTGCCTCAGCCTCCTGAGAGCTGGGATTATAGGTGTGTGTCACTACACCTGGCTCTAGAAATCTTTATAACCACTTGTTTTTGTTAATTTCCTAAAATATCATAACTCAGTTTGCTTTAGAATAAAAAAGGTTAGGTTCCAGACAGGAAAACCAATGTTAAATTGTTTGGGGTTTTTTTTTTGTTGTTTTTTATTTTTTATTTTTATTTTTTGCACTGCTGGTGCCCAAATGCAGGTCCTCACACATGCCAAGCAAGCACTCTGCCACAGAGCTACATCCCCAACCCCAATGTGAATCAATGAACAGGTCAACTCTAGTGTCAAAGTCTGCTAGAATGATCTCTGCCTAATTTTATCAAGTGCAAAAAACAATCAGCTTTTTTGGAAATCAGCAAGATTGGCATCACCTTTGGATTCTCCAATATTAGCAGGTCAAAAAGGATGTGGTGATTATCCTGTATCTTATATCTCTTAGTTAAGTTTATTGAAATACATTTTCAAATAAATATTTTGAATATCCCCCAATCAAGGTAGTGAAACTGTAAAATGATGCTTCTTTCTACAAAGACACAAAATTAGCTTGAAGAAAAAAATCCCGAGGCCAATGAGGCTGTTTCAAAGATACGATGGAGGCTCCTTAAGATCCCAGAGACATCAAAGATCCACAGGCTCAGTCTTATGCACAGGCTCAGGGGCCAGCTTGATCCTGAGAACCTCCGCAAAGCCATCGCCAAACCAGCAAGTGATGTGTGCTGTGTCCACAGTGAAGTAGAAAAGGCGGTCCTGGCAGAGCTTCCGCCGATACACTGAGCGGGGATCGGCAGACAGCACAGCCTCAATGGCACACTTTGCTTCCTCTGTTGATTGAAAATACCTAAAGGACACCTGGCCAGGATCTGCAATGAGAAAAACTCAGCTTACTGTTCAGTATCACACAAGTAGGGCCAGGGATTTAGCTCAGTGGTGCTGCGCCTCCCTGGCAAGCACAAGGTCCTGAGTTCAATCCCCGGTACCAGAAAAAAAAAAATCACACAGGTCAAATGTCATGACAGTGGGCTTCGATATGGAATGTGGTTGGCTCCTTCCACGTTACTTGAATGAGATTTGGCAATCTACTCAGTGCGTCTCTTTCACTGTTTTACACAGATTGTCACCTTTAAATGATATTTACTGCCATTAGATTTAACTGTGTACTCTTAAATTCTTATTTTCTGAGCAAAAATAAATCATGCTGGTATTTTTCATTAGTCTCCTAGGAGAAAGAGCTTTCATTTTCAGTCAGCCAAAATGCCACTTTTTCTACATTCAGTGTAGACTTTAATTCCTTCTCATTTTCTCCTCAGAACAGAGCCATAGTCAAGGAAATAAATGCATAAGAGTCCTAGTATTCTCCAAAAGTCACAAGAAAGTGAACTAAACCCATATATATCTAGAACACTATTGTAGGGAAGGGAGGGATTAAGTGTCAGCTCCAGAGTTACAAGTAATGCCACATCCCTAACAAATGAAGACAAGTGACACTTCCAGAACAAAATAAAAAGAGACAAACAGAGGAAGTATTCAATGGCATCATGAGGGAGACAGCCACTCTGTTCCACCCATGTGCATACTTCAAGGAAATACATAGATGCTTACTCTGTCCAAGGACAAAACCTTTTATGTTCATACTGTTCTTAATGTATTTCAATTTTTAAAAATACAGTATATTCAGAACTTAAATAGTAACTATGACAACAACATAACATACACCCAAATGAAGGCCAGCCCCTTCTGGAAAAGCATGTAGTACAGTGCCGTAAAAATGTCATTTCCCACTCAAGATATCACTTAAGAGTAGTGATGGGCCTTTATCTTTCTTCAAGTGGAACTGATTTTTGTAAAACAGCCAAAAATCACTGTGGGCTATAGCCAGTAAGTTGGTAAATAAAGTACATTTTTTGATGAAAAAACAAGACCCAATTATATGGTAAACAGGATTCCTTTATTGCCTGGCTCATGAAATGACAGCAAAAGGCCACTCAAGAAAGAGCTCATTGCAGGCCTCCACAGCATTTCAGGCTGAAACTCCAGGCCTTTGTGTGGCTGCTGATGCCCTGTACTCTTATTTCCTGTCCAGTCACCCTCCCTAGCTTAGCTGAAGCCCTCTTCTCTGCAGTTCCTCCAGGAAGTTTTCCCACATCTTCTGACCCTGCCCTAACCAGCATCCTTCTCTCCCTTCAATACCCACCGCTTTTGCCCAACCTCCCGCCTCACCCTCTGTGCTGGCATCAGCTCCCTCCTGTCAACCTCTATCATTTCTCCTAGGTGCTGAACATCCTGAAGCCATCTCTTATCTCTGAACTGGCTCTGAATTTTGTTGCTTGCTATCAATCAATCCTTGTCTTATAGTTACACTGCATAATTTCTCTTTTAACTATTTTCATCAATAAAGCATATTTGAAACACCTCAGACACACTGCCCATAGACTGAATAGCTTTCCACAGTAGGTGCCATTCAACAATAATCACAAGGCAAGGGATAAGTGTGACATAAAGTGCTGACTTGGCTGCACTCCTTTGTCCAATCAAGAAGTCCTTTTCCAACTTACCTTCCTCCTCCCGTCAACTGCATAGAACTGATAACAAAACTTTTTACATAGAAAGATTTTAAAGTCAAAAGCTTTGTTGAAAAATAAAGTCTTAGTAAAGAGTGAGAAAGCACAGCCCCCGAGTGGCCCACTCTTCCCATACCCAGGGCTGAGCACCCAGAGGTGCAGGTGGGCACCCTGTGGTGGGCACCCGGCCCAGGTTGGCACAGGGGGCTAAACCCAGTGCCTGAACCCTGGCCGGTGCCTGCCTCCACATAGAGGAAGGATGCCTCTTCCTCACTTGCAAAAGGCATGAGGGTGGGCTGGCCCTGACAGGGAGATATGAGGAATCTCCAGAGTGAGCTGTGGCATTTGTCTCTGGCCCCAATGTTTTTACATATCTTTTCTCATTAACAGGACTTTTTTTTAGGTTGGAGTGACAAATGGCAAACACCCTTCTATCCTCTTAATTCTCTCCTTTCTTTTAAAGCAGGGGAATTCTAAGGTCTATGGTTGCTTAAGCCTTTATTTTCTATGTATAGAATGAAAGGCTTTGGTGTATAATTAAAATTCCAGCCCGCCTTTACCGGCCACTGAGGTTGGACATTCAGAAATCACTTATAGTCCTCTCTGGGCAGTGATCTGATACCAGAGAAGTCAAGTCCCTCTGCCTTCCCCTTTGCCCAAGATAAAACTTCCAGTCCTTGAAATAGCCTGTAAAAATCTCATGACCTCCCTGCAGCCTCGCTGACCTCAGCTCCTTCCACTCTCCTTTTCTTCAGTCTGTTCTTATGCACCCTCACATATACCATACACTCTCTGTCTTGCAGTGTGCACTGGCTGTCCCTCAGGCTGGCATGTCCTTTCCCTGACAGCTAACTCAGTCTTTTACCACTTTAGCCTCTACTCATATGTATCTTTTCAGGGAGGTCTCTTCCTGCTACCTACTTAAAACTGCCAAAAACCAGCACTGCTCCACTCTCTTTTACATCTGCCTATAGCTCTTCTCGTCTTTGAACATCATATAAGGTTTTTGTATGGTTTGCATGATAATTTTTATGGTTACTATGCTTTTAGTTTGTCTCTGTCCACCCCATTAGAATGCAAGCTCTGTGAAGGCAGAATTTCTTTTTAAAATCTGTTTTGCTCAGTTTTGCTCACTAATATATTCCAAGGGTCTAGAACAGTGTCTAGTACCCAGGAGCAGTTCAGTGAACAACTGTAGGATAAACAAATGGACTTTCCTCTTTATATGGCTATGCTGCCTCTTAAGTCATGGAACATAAAGAACAGCTTTCTATCTTTCCTAAATCTAACATCTCCTTAACAATTGGCTGCTTCTTACTAGCATCACTGTTTGTACCTCTGAACAGCTCATTCCTTTATTCTAGATGGCTGCTCGGGATCTGCGGTACAATAGGGAGGCCATGTGTTAAGAAACGTGTTAAATGGGCTGCAGAGCAAGGGCCCCATGGCCTCTCTCTACAGGAGAATGCATGTCCGTGGTGCTGGGACTTTGCTGGGCAAGTTCTGTGCAAAGAAACTCTTCCCCCTCCCTGTAGGTCCCTGGAGTCCTCTGTGCTAAGGCTAAGCAACTGTTAGAATAAAAAGTAACATTTCTTTAGTCTGGTAGTAAAACACACGAGAAAATATATCTAAGACAGAACAAGCACAATTCAGCTTCAGTATGCTATTCAAAAACCCTGAGAATGACTGTATCAGGAAGACAGGGAGCTATCGATCATGGCTGCTGCTGGCAGCAGTGATCATGCTCTGCAAACTCTGTAATGAGCGCCTAGAACTAACTGTGCTGACCAAACAGTTGTCAAACAAAAGTTATATGGTAGTGTTGCCCAAATTCCAGTTTATACTTTTATTTCTCATACTGACCAATACTGTATATAACTTGACCTCAGAAATGCCAAACCTGGATAATTCTCACAATGAGTACAAGCTCATTTCTCATTCAGGACTATGAAACCAAGGATACCTGATTCACCTGAGCTGAGCTGCCAGAGGTCCATCTCTGCATGAGGAGTAAACCGGACTTGTAAAGGGGCCTCGGGTGCCTCTCTCACCCAGGCAGGAACAATGCTGTCAGTCGTCCTGGTCCTGGCTGGGCAGGGATGAGGCAGGGGCTGCATCTCCATACTATTTCCTGGCACAGCTGGGGCTCCTTCTCCACTCACTGGCCTCTTATTTGTACCCCCCTCTAGAGGGGTCTTCTCAAGGCCATGTGGGCCCATCTGCTCTTCTGCCACATTCAGACTCTGATGGCTTCTTGGCTCCACCCCAAGATCTGTTGCTCTCTCTCTGCCCTTAGGCAAGGGTTGCTGGATTTTTCTTGTATCATTGTGTTTCAGGTAGTTTTCTTCTGAAGCTCTGTCTTTAGGACATTTAGATTTCTCCTTAGTGCTTTGGTACAGCTGTGGTGTAACACATCCTGAGAGCTGTTGCTGGTCATAGCTATTAGTCTTACCATCAGACTGGGACACAGTTTTGGGTTTATGTGGGTTATTCTGCAGATTAAAGTCCCCTAAAGGTTCCATCAAATTCTGTGGTGAGTCATAATCAGCTATGTAGGGCTTTATGTCTAGTACTGGTGTGCCATGTATCATGTCAATCCCAGATAGGTATATAGCTCCACCTAGAAGGTGAACAAAATCCTCTTAAAAATATTCACAGTGAAGAACAGTGTAAACAATTGGAGGATATAATTTACCCTAAATCCTCTCTCCAACAGTCTGCTTGTGCCTCACTGAGCTCATTCACATTTCTCGAATACACCAGACTCTATTCACCTACTGTCAACATAAGCTTTTCTTTCTAGTTGGAAACCACTCTATACTTTACCTGTCAAACTCCTACTTGATCTTCAAGGCTCTCACAGAATGTATTTTCTCCAAGCCTTTCTGGCTCTTTCAGACAAAAGCATTCCTTCTGGGTCCCACAGAACAGCCTGTGTATAAACCTCTTCTAGAGCCCCCTTCGCATGAAATGCCAATGGCCTGCTTAGTCTCTGTCCCCAGACAGTAAGCATGGCTGAAGTCCACTCATCTTTGTATTACTGGTGCCCTGAATTATCCCAGGAATATGATAGTCCTCAATGTATTGATGAAAGAGCAACAAGAGTTTCCACTGAGGGGCTGGGGATATAGCTCAGTGGTGCCACGCCTGCCTGGCAAGCACAAGGTACTGAGTTTGATTCTGGTACCAGAAAAAAAGTTTCCATTGAGACAAACAGACTCTAGGTGGCCCCTTGATCCCTACCTCCTGGTGCTCATGCCCTTGTGTAATCCCTCCTTTTGAATGTGACTTTCTTCTATCCAACAAAATATGGCAAAAGAGCTGTGATATCCTCCAGTGATGATGTTTTCTCATGAGACCCCTGCTTGCCAGAAGACTCATTTGAGAGACTCTCCCTACAATATAAGCAGGCATGGTGTGAATGGCCATGAAGCAAGGAACTGCAAGCTGCCTCTCAGTGGAAGGTGGCCTCTTGCCAACACTAGCAAATAGTTGAGACCCTCAGTCCCACAACTACCAAGAAGTAGTGCTATGAAGTGAGCTTTGATGTGGATTCTCTGGTGAGTCTATCCTCCTGACCCACAGAAAGATAGCAATGTTGCAAACACATCATCAATGTGCACTGTTTAAACTGATGCATTCTTGGTAATTTACTACACAGCAACAGAAATATATTCATCAAGATTTAAACAAGTAATCAGCATGTAGATCACCATTACCAAATATTAAGGACAGGTCTCCTGTTGTCCCATTTGGACAGATATCAAGTTTCTGCTGGTGGTACAGAGTCTACTAACATGATCAATAGGAAACTGGACAACCAGGAACTGAAAAACTTCATGTGGTCACATTTGATTCTGTCACTATATAAGAAAAACATAACTAGTCAAAGACCCTGATTTCTAAAACATGAATAATGTTAATGAGCCTGGAACTTTAGAAAGATGATTTTGGATTTTATAAATGATAGATTATACCTAACAATGCCTGCAGGAGAAAAAAAGGCACAGTGGCATAGATGAGAGTTCATGGCAAGACTTGTATTTTGTGTTTTACTCCCATGCTGTGATTTTTCCCTGTGTGCTTTAATAAAATTTTTTCCTGGTACTGGGGATTGAATCTAGAGAACATTGAGCTATACCTCCAACCCTTTTTAAAATTTTGAGACAGAGTTTCACTAAGTTTCCTAGGGTGGCCCTGAACTTGTGATCCTCCTGCCTTAGTTAGAATCACATAGATACATAGCTAGAATCACAGGTATGCACTACCACATCTGACCAGATTTATTATACTTTTTCTTGTTAACCTGTCTTCTGTTACAGGGGTGTTGGCTATGACCCCTTCCTATGGGCAGGAAAGGAATCACTCCCTTTTCTAGTCCCACATTATTTATAATTGATTCTTGTGTTTGTTCTTTCACTTTTTCTGATTTGACCTTCCCCAACAGAATTTTAAATTCTTTAGAGCAAGGATTTTTATCTGATTTGATAACCACAGTATCTCTAGCACCTACAACAATGACTAGTATATATTCAGTAATAGAAAATATGCACAGGTTGCATGAATGACAAAAATCTTCCCATACTGTTATCCAATTTGGTAAGCTGTCACACACTGATAAAACTCAAAGTGCATGGACCAGCTACTGAATTTCCTAGTTAACTTATCTAAAACCTATTGGGTTGGGTAGAATCCAGCAACAGGTGTTTTAAATTCTACAAAAATAACAAGCAAAATAACCACTCTCAAGTATTTAGTGCCCAGTGGTCTGAAAGAGTACTCTTACAGATTTAGATTTTGTCTTATAAGATCCTCAGAAAACCAAAAAAATTTTTAAAAATTTAAAAATACTTCCTATGGAGTCAGAGGGCAGATCTTTCAAGCTGAAGCCAACTTCTAATCTACCTGCTATTTTATCCTTCGCCTGTCTAATATATACACTTATTGGGTTACAGTGATTCAAGAGTGGGAATCTTGGGGTGGGGATTTAGCTCAGTGGTTCTGCTACCTGCCTCGCAAGCGCAAGGTCCCAAATTCAATCCTCGGTACCAAAAAAAAAAAAAAAAAAAAAAAAAAAGAATGGGAAGCTCTCTAAAAATGTGTAAGTAACTGTTAACTGTTACATAGGAGCATGCATTAAAATCAGCTTGGTAGTCTACATAGGCCCTTTTGGAGCCTAACAGATGTTCAGTCTCCCTGACCCCCTTCCTGGTCCTGGGGATTGAATCCAAGGGCACTTATAACTGAGCTACATTCCCAACCTTTTTTACTTTTTCTTTTGACACAGGGTCTCACTAAGTTGCTCAGACTGGCTTCCAACTTGTGATCCTCCTGCCTCACCCTCCCAGAGTGCTGGGATTACAGGCTTGTGCTACCAGACCTGACCCAGATGTTCAATTCTTCAGTGTGCTTAATCCCATACCCCTGCCACACAACACAGTTGATTGCTGCACTGCAGCCATAATATCGATTTCCTCAAGGCTGCAAGGAAGAAATGATATTCCACTGTGCTACATCACACATGCACGTACAACTGGTTACTGTGTGTCACATTAGAAAGGATCCAATTTTTAAAAACCATTTTGTATATACTACACTACAACTCTAAGAAAATTTGGTTACTATTTTTTTTTTCTTTGAGCTGCTGGAGATTGAACCCAGAGCTTGTGCATGGTGGGCAAGGACTCTACAACTGCATTACATCCCCAACCCTTTTGTTTTATTTACCTATTTTTTGTTCGTTTGTTTTGTTTTTGTTTTTGGTGGTGAGGGGGATAGAACTCCAGACCTTGTGGTTGTGAGGCAGGTGCCAGAACCACTAAGCTAAATCCCTGGCTTATCTGTCTATTTTTGTGATACTGGAGCTTAAACCCAAAACATTCTCACTGAACTACATCCCCAGCCCTTTTTTATTTTGAGATAGGGTCACACTAAGTGCTAAGCTGTCCAAGTTGGGTTCACACTTGCAGTCTTTCTGCCTCAGCCTCCCACAGTACTGGGATTATAGGCATGTGCCGCCACGCCTGGCTTGGCTACTGACTTAACCACTATGAAATCTGAGTTTTTCAAAAATAACTTAATGGTTTTTGATTACACGAATGATAAACTCTGAGCATCCTGTGAGAGTTTACTTCTTAAAGAGTTCTCGATCCTAACATCCTTTCAGTCGTCAGATGTTCCTCAATGTCTGGGGACTCTCAGGAGTTAGTATCCGTGGTGTTCATAGGAACAGCAGCCAGCAGTGAATGCTATGCTGATTTTATAAGACTTTTTGGAGTAAGAAAAAGATAAAAGTAAAATGAAATAGGTTACCTTCTACCTTCTCCAGCTTGGCCAAGGTCAGTCCTATTGCATTGGGGCGATGAGGGCTCCTTGTGGAAAATACTCCAGTCTTTGCACCGTTCAGCCTAGGGGGCTGCACTTTTGCCTTATAACTCAAATGACCATTTTTGTGAAAAACAAACAAAATCCTATAGAAAGTAAATCAAACCACTGAGTAAAAAAGAATTCAGGTTATTTTATTATAACGATTTGGGGGTGGGGAATATTATCCTTCACAAATTAATAGAAAATATGTTTTTAATGGAATTAATCAGCCAGGGAGAAAATAATACCATTTCCCCTCCTTGAAGGAAGAGAGACATCCTTTGCATTAAAGGCAATGACTGATATCCAGTACGAACTTAACAGGTATTTATCACATTCCTGAATAAACAATACAAAGTGCATGTTGTTTGCCAAGAAGTATGCTAGACATTTTTATACTCGTATCATGTAATTGTTAACAATCTTAAGAAATATAATTTATCCTTCTTTTTAAAGGAAAATGAAACTCAGAAATATTAAATAACTTGACAAGGCTTTCCTAAACAAGATACAAAACCAAGAAGCCATAAACAAAAATAATAACACATTTGAAATCATTAAACTTCTTACTATAAAATGTAACCTAAGAGGATATTTTGCTATGTATAGTGGGTTAATATCTGTGGTATACAAATTATTCCCATATAAATCACTAAGAAAAGCTGGGTGTGGTGGTATTTGCCTGTAATTCCAGCACTCTGAGAGGCAGAGGCAGGAGGATCAAACATTTGAGCCCAGTCTGGACAACTTAGCATCTTAGTGAGACTCTGCCTCAAAATAAAAAAGGGCTAGAAGGCCAGACATGGTTGCACACACCTATAATCCCAGTACTTGGGAGGCTGAGGCAGAAGGATAGCAAGGAGTTCAAAGTCAGCCTGGGCTAAACAGTGAGTTCAAGACCAGCCTGAACTGCACAGCAAGACCAACCAGGGGTCAGGGATGTAGCTCAGTGGCACCTTGCCTGCCCAGCAAGTGTAAGGTCCTGAGTTTGATTCCCACTACCGAGGAGGGAAAAAAAAAACAAAAACAAACAAAAGAAAAACCAAAAGAAAGGGCTGAAAATGTAGCTTAATGCAAAGGCCTTGGATTCAATTCCCAGTAGCCCCCCTACACAAACATACACACAAGATCACTAAGTAAAGGACGATACAGTACAATATAGGACATTAAGCAAAGAACATAGACAATTCATAAAAGAATTACAAATACCTAACAATCATATGAAAAGACATTAAGCCTCACCAATGATTAAAAAATTAATCTTAAAAAACCTGTTTTCCCTTATCAGGCAAAAATGTAAAACTCTAATAACATACTGTGTTGGGGAGGGTGTACATTGCTGAAGTATAAATTTGTTAATTTTAGAGGGCAATTAGGCAGTAGTTCTCTCAAAATTATAAACATACATACCCAATATATCCACTTATGACATCCTATCAATAAAATCACAAGTACCCAAGAATATGTATCCAAGGAAGTTTGTCACAGTATTGTCATAATAGCAAAATACCGCTCCATTAACAAGGGTGTGGTCAAATGACGGTACATCTATATATACATATTTTTTGGTACCAGGGATTGAACTCAGGACCTTGTGCTTGCGAGGCAGGCACGGCATCACTGAGCTAAATCCCTGGCCCAGGTATACATCTATATTTTGCAATAATAGATAGCAAGTAAAGGAAAAAAAAAGGTAAATCCATATGTACAACCACGAAGGCCGGCCAGGTTTGGTGGTAAACACCTGTAATCCCAGCAATCAGGAGGCTGAGGCAGGAGGATCGCTGAGAGTTCAAGGCCAGCATGGGCTACATAGTGAGTTCAAGGCCCACCTGAACTACATAGTGAGACCTCATCTCAAAAAAACAAAACAGGGCCGGGGATTTAGCTCAGTGGTTCTGCCACCTGTCCCAAAAGTGCAAGGACCCAAGTTCGATCCCTGGTACCAAAAAACCCCAAAACAAAACAAAACCAAAAAGGCTCTCCATGATACACAGCGCTAAGTGGAGAAAACATCTTCCATTTTTTAAATCAAACACCCACTCTCAATGTGAATACTTATGGTTTTATGTGTATTGAAAAGGGAAAAAAGAAACAAGAAAATAGGCTGGTATGAACTATATCAAACTGTTAACAATTATAGCCTCTGAAGAGTGTTGAAGGGCAGGAATGAGAGAGAAAGAAAATAGGAGGGGAAAGAAAAATATCTATATACTTCTGAATGCATCTTTCATACAAAGTGTTTTTTAACTTACACAACTCAACCAACATCACACAGACTAGGTCAGAACACCTATGTTTTTGTAAGTACCTATGTTCTCAAATTAAAAAGAAAACCTATTTCAGAATAAAATCTTAATCTAATTTGAGGTCTCCACCATTAAAATGAGACCAATTCAGACCACTAATGTTGAGGGTGAGGAAGAATGGACAGAATTCCATATCACAGTGAGTGGTCTCCAGATTTCTAAGGTCTCTTGTCTTTTAGACGAGTATACCTCATGAGTCTAGAGGATGATTCTACATCTTTTTCTGTAAAAGATCAGATAGTAAGTATTTTAGGATTTGAGACCAGTCACTCAGTACTGTATTCAACTCTGCTACTGTGGCAGGACTGCACAATAGCAGCCACATACAATATATAAACAAAGGTGCTTGCCACAGTGAACAGCCACAGACAGTACCTCCACAAAGGGGCATGGCTGTGCTTCCATAAAACTAATGTACAAAAGCAGGCAGTGGACCATATTTGGTCCACAGACTATAGATTGAGGACTCTTGCTCATGGGGTTAGCATGATGACCCATGGGCGAATCAGGAAGGTCTACATTTTCAGCTCAACAAAAAAGATTCCTCACAACTAGTAACAACTGCACGTGAAACACACCCTCTCAGTGGCTCTAACCTTCCCTGAAAGTGTTCATATGATGCAGACAATTCACACACATATGCAGAATGAGAATTCCATACAACAGACAAGGGTAGTCTGGATGACAGACTCCAAAGCTGTCTTCAACTGGGGTACTTTACTCTGGGGCAAGTTCTGGCCAAAAGTACCACTTCAAATTATAAAAATAACTTACCAAACATGAGAAAACTGTTCTAACCCCATCAAGGAATGTGCAGGATTATTAAAGATGTTCTTTCTAATCCTCAAACAGGCTCGTGAATGGCTACAAATGGATGGCTGCCGTGGAGTTCCGTTCTTGGCTGTAAAACAGGATTCCAAGTAGCCTATCGGCTCAGTTAAAAGATTTCCTACAGAAGAACATTAGGTAAGAAATCATTAGTCAAAAGGTCAAACAAAGATGTAAGAAAACATGTTTTCTCTAAGTCATTCATTTCAGTTTTAAATCTACTAGATATTATCCAACAATTAAAACTGGTTTGGGGCTCAGTGGCTCCGTGCCTGGCTCGAAAGTGCAAGGTCCTAAGTTCGATCCCTGGTACCAAAAAAATTATTGGTTTAGCCAGGCATGGTGGCACATGCCTATAATCCCTGCACCTGGGAGGCTGAGGCAGGAGGATTGCCATGAGTTCAAGGCCAGGCTAGGCTACATAGTGAGTTCAAGGCCACCCTGACCTACAAAGAGAGACTGTCTCAAAATAACCCAAAATAAATAAATTAATTAAATAAAATTATCAGTTTGTTTTGAGATGGGGTCTCCCTATGTTGCCAGGCTGGCATGGAACTCCTGGCCTCAACTTCTCAAGTAGTGGTAACTATAAGGGATGCACCACTATGCCCAGAATATTCTAAATTTATAGATAACTTTTTTCCCTAGATTTCATATGGGACTTACTAAGTTCTTTGAAGAGACGATATAATATGGACACCTCTAACTTTATTTCCAGTTTCAAATAAATCTGTCCTACCAGGAGAGCAATAAGACTATAGGTCTGGGACTGTCCCTCACAGTGCTTTTCATTACTTCTCACTTACAAAGCTTATGTTATTTGATACATATAAAAGAGTATATGTAACATATATATAAGTTCTAAAGCATAATATTATAATGAAACCCTCTGCACCATGCCACCAACCCTACTGAAGCAATACTAACAATTTACATCCTCTTTGGCTGTGCTCCTCCTCTCCTATCCCATAACCTTCCTTCCTCTGAGATAAATAGGAGATTAAATTTGGTCTTTATCTTTCATTTCCTTTTTAAATATGAGTTTATCACATGTACATGTATGCCTAAATATTTCATTTATTTGTCTTTGAGCGCTACAAAGTACCTTCTTGATAGGGGACGGGGATTTAGCTCAGTGGTTCTGGCGCCTGCCTCGCAAGTGCAAGGTCCTGAGTTCGATCCCCGGTACCAAAAAATTAAATTAAATTAAAAAATAAAGTATCTTCTTGGTCTTGCTTTTTTTTTAATGTAGTAATCAAAATATTTAACTGTCCTTTTATCAAACTTTGACAAACACATTTGGTCTTCACTGTCTGAGCAAATCAGTTTTTGTTTCTTCATGGTCCTCTGTCTTTTAACACGACACTTGTGTGGTTGTTCAATCTGTAACATAACAGAATTTCAGTCCAGTTTCCCTCTCCATATTTCCTCACACCAGATTTCAAGTTCTTGTCTTCTTCACAAAGCCATGGCTGTTTTTGCCTAAATTGGTGTTTTTCATGAGTTACTGATCGGTTCTTTGAAACCGGTCTTTTGAAACCGGTCTTTCAGTATCTCTTCTGTTTTCCTTTCTTCCACTTTAAAGAATTCCCACCCTCTCTTTCTTATTAAGGTCGTGCTAACAGCTTCCTTGTTTCAACTTAGATAAGAAGAGATTCATGTGAGACCTTTTTCCTTTATTCAAATTAGCTTCACTTTGTTTCATTATCATTACCACTAGGTTTAACTTGAGAAGTTATTGTTTTTGTTTTCTCACTTTCCACTACTTTTGCTGCTTCATTAGAAAAGTTGAAAACACATCATTAGAAAACACATCATGGATTTTTCATTTAGCACACAATTCATGTAACTTTTACCTTTCTCCATCATGTGGTTGTAGCTGAAGTGTTGAAAAAAAAGGAGTGATATGCATCCTTCTGAGAGATTATCATAAGCAATTTCCTTTGTCTGTGAGAATATGGGTCACCAAATATTCTTTCAAAGACTTCTGCTTCCATAAGACTCCCATGTTCCATACAAACAGCTATGGCCTGAATTTTAATTAAATTCCGTATCTCTTCAAGTGTAAGAATGTTTTTTGAAGTAAAAAAAAAACAACTAATGAAAACCTATCTGAAATGAAATTTTTAAAAAGGGAAGAAAATGAAAATAAGAGGAAATATCTATCAATAGCCTTTAGCTAATTAAAGGAAAGCACAGATCAGAAGTAATACTTTTTAGAAGGCCCTAATAGGTATTTCTTTTCTTTTTCTCTGAGGCATCCTTCCATTCAGCCAAGGTCTTTAGTATTTCTTGTGTCTCAGGTTGTCCTTGAGGTTCCCATGATAGTAATTTCTGTAGAAGGCTTTTTTCTTTGCTATCAAACACATCATAGAAGATGCCTTCCCTTAGATTTTTGAAAAACTCCATTGTTTCCTGGACAGTGCTACATATATGAATAAGTTCACCAAGAATTAGTCCCAAAGCAAAGATGTCCACTTCCTTTTCATAATCTTCAGCTGTTCTGGGCTCATGTATCTCAAAGTTTCCCTATCTCTCATTCCCTTTTCATCATTTTTCAAGGATGTGGCAAGTGCAAAGTCTCCAATCTTTACTCGTTTTTCATCTACTAAAAATACATTAACTGGCTTAAGATCTCTGTTTTTTGAGTGCATATATTGTACTCCTGTTGTTATTTGCTCAAAGAATTCCAAAGCCAAAGCTTTGTCTGAATTGTTTTCTCCCCTTTGGTATCCATTTCTCCAATGTCCCTTTATCATAGAATTCCATTGAGATGAAAAGGCAACAACTCCTTGATCGTGGATTGGTACTTGTGCTGCACTCAGGATCATAATAAATTCCTTTCCAACCATAATAATACTGAACACTGGTATGATCAAGAGTCGCCAATGTGTGTGCTTCACACAGTACCTCTCGTCAGTACATCTAACATGTTTAATAATGGAAATCTTTTCAGCTAGTGTGTGTTTTGCTTTGAAAACTTGCCCATATCCACTATCACCAATTGGTTCTATGTCTTCATATTCACTGGCAAACCTGTCATTCAGTGTACTTGCTTTCTTCTATATCAGCATGGTCAAATTTAGGTGCCAAATTTACTCTAAGACCATTCACAGAAGAACAACTGCTTTCACTGACAGTGCTCTGATCTTTTCCGAGCATTTGCTGAGAAATCATTTTCTGATGATAATTAAGAAGCTTTTGTAGCCCAGGTTAGCCTTGAACTTCAGCCTCCTGCCTCTGTCTCCAGAGTGCTGAAATTACACGCCTGTGCTGCCACACCCAGCTTCTCGTTCGTGGGGGGGGGGGCGGTACCAGAGATCAAACTTGGGTCCTTGCGCTTACGCAGCAGGCAGCGGAGCCATCCACATTGTGTATGCTTTTGATGACTTTAAATTTTTTCCAAGTATGCTTACAAGCAGTTTTTAAAAATTTTTTGTTTGGTTGTTCTGTTTTTGTTGTCTTTAATCCTCATCCATGTGGTAAATATCTTTTTTTAATGATGCAAAGTATTTATTCCAAGTTAGTTATTTTATGCAGTAGTTTTTCCCCCTCAACAGACTTGTGATAACCACATCTTCTAAAATCTGCAAATAATGTTATCAAAATAATCTTAATGTTTGAAATCTCACAAAAATTTATATTTTACAATCCACACTGAATATCAAGGCTGCAAGAATAACACATTTCCTATATCCAACTATTTTACAGCTGTACCTCGAATAGGAAAACAAAAACAAAAAAACCATATGCTTGGTTAAGGGCTACGTTACCTGAGCAGACAAAAATAAAATAAAATATCCAAATTATTAGCGTTAATTTAATACAATTATAACTTTAGTAGTCACGTTGTCATTGACAATGACTGCTTAAGCACAGGGGTGAGTGCCCCAAGGGCTGGTAGTAGAAGCTGCTGCTGCAGGACAGCATCCGCTCCTCTCCATCTCTGCACTGCCAGCTCCCACCTGTGCATTGCACCATATGTTCTGTATGTGTATTTTAAAAATCTTTCTTACCACACAAACATCTCTATTAAGCAGGTAACAGGAAAGGACAACAACAAAAGCTCAATAAGCCAACCGCTCTCTCTTTGGGATATGATTATTTCCCTTGTGTATGAAGTATTCAACATAAGAAAAGGAAAAGGAAAACACTTTCTTTTGTATATTTCTGAAACACACAAGCTGAGTTTACTGGTTCAGATGAACTGTGAACTTTTCTGTGCCTACTTCCAGGCACTGTCATCTGATGTCACACTGCTACTTGTTTCGGTGTCTGAATCCTCAAACTCTGCTTTACAAGTACTTCTCCAAGGGGAGAAAAGGCTCAAACTTTGGGTCTGCAAGAAGCCATTCTTTCCAAAGCCATTTCTTTTCAGCTGCTTGTCTTCATGTGGAACTCCTTGAGCTCATCCTCTGTGAGTGGGAGGCAATTATCATTTTCAGGATATTCCTGCCATCCCCTTCTTTCAATAACGTGTGCTCTGCTTCCAGAGAATGTGAGAGGACCTCACTTACTTCCACAATGGGGAGAGAGACCATTCTGAAGACAGCCTGCCTCCCCACTTTCCTTTGGTTCGGGTGTGCTACTGTGCTCCAAATCCTCCAGCTTGTCACAGTCTCTGTTCTCTGAGAAGTCTCCATTCCGGTCATCCTTCAGAGTCTTCAGGAACTCACTCTTCCTGTCGGTGGATTGGCGGGTCAACTTGGTCCGAAGAGGAGCTGATCTCAACTGGAGGGGTAGTGCTGGAGGGACTCTCTTTGGGAGCACTGAGAACTCACCGCCAGCCAGTATCACTGGTTTGGTAACAGAGATTGGATTGGTAAGACCAGACTCCTGGGTAGAGGAAAGGGATCCTGATTTGTGTTCCATTCTGTTAGCTTTCCATGCATTGGGCTTGGAAGGAGCTGGTGCAGGCTTAGGAACCAAGTGCTTATAGACACTTGGAACCATGGTTGATGATTTATTTCCAATTGCATGGTGAGATTGCAGCAGAGAAGGCAGCAGCAGGATCTTCTTTGGAAACTTTTTTGATTACTAGCATCTTGGAAGGTTGCTTGGCACTAGGTGGGTTTTCCCACACTCCAGAAGGGGTCTCAATAGGTCTGCATGGCTGATTGTGTTTGCCAGCTTCTGGATTCAAAGAAGGAAAGTCTTCCTCTTCAAACTGTAATTTTTCTACCTTGTCTTCTTTTTTTTCTTCCCTAACCTCTGTAGGTGGCTTTTCCTGAAAGACACGGCCTTTCCAGGAGTGGAAGCTGCCATTCCAGTGTTGATGGTTCCCTGCGCCACCTCCCCTACACTGGCTCATGCCCTCATGACCCCAAGAAGAGCTGTGCCAACCAGATAAATTCCCTGCAATTCCCATGTATGTTCCCTTAGAGACACCAGAGTCCACAGAATCATGGCGGAACAGGGAGGGTTGGTGCCAGGAATCTCCTGTAGTTTGTAAAGGTCCATTGTTAAAAAAGCCATCAGAGGAACTGTGTCAATGTCGGCTTACTCCAAGTCTACCTTCTCCTCAGGGTAGATGGTCTCCGTGTTTTTCAAAAGTGATTGTAGGTGACTTAGCTGACTGTGGTGTTGAAAAATTTAGCCAAGCAGGAATAAAGTCATGCTGTGCCATTTAGGTCCAATGTCTTTTTTCAGCAAGGAAAGACCTCATGGCCAGGATCCCAGAGTGTAACCTCTGTGGTCCTATTTTCCGATTCCTTGAGGTTACCAGCTGAATCTCCTGAGAGATTTTCTTGTTAAAAGGGAGCTTAAGTAACCTGGCCTGCACCACACATTGTGATGAAGCAGAGAAGGCCGGCTCCTTGTGGCTCACTTTCTCGGTCCCTTCAATTGCTCATTCTCAACTACCTAGTTCCAGACACGTTTCCAAAAGGGGCAAGGGGGAGAGGAAGGGGGAAGGGGAACATAAGAAGTATTTGTTACATTTAAAAAGAGAGGTAAGGGGCAAAAGCTATGTCTATGTTCACCTCATTCAACTTCTTTGAGTAACAGCGCTATAATGTTGCTTAAATAGGTAATACATATGAGGGCACAGTGGTTTGCACAGTGAGGGCCAACACTGTTCATAAAAAGGTCATAGTTAGAAAGACAGGTTGCTTGACATGCAGGTAAGTAATGTCATCAAGGTGACAGATCAAAAATATAATATTAGGGGAAAGGAAAGAGGGGAATGGAATATGAGAAAATGAAAAAATGGAAACAAAATCTTTGTAAATAGGGAGGGATGGAGGGGTTGAAGGGAGGGCAGGGGAAGGGGGAAAAATAAGAACCAAGAGAGTATGAAAAGGTGCATATCTCCAACGATGAATGTCATTATGTTGTACACCTAAAATGTACCAATAAAAGGATATACAAAAATATATATATATAATATTAAAGCCCAATCAAAAATTTTTGGAGCAGTCAACTCCAGTGGTAAACCCCCACATGACAAAACCCTCAAAACAAAAATCTCATTATTTTTACACAACTGCCAAAAATAGTGTGCAGATACGTGTATGTAATTGTCTTAACCTTCAAAATCTAAGGACCTAAGAAATCTTGCTTTAAAAAAAGGATCAGAACTTGATAAACTTTTTCCTCTACAGAATAGCAGCTTTCAAGGCAAATTCCTTAGTATACATTTCTTAAACATATGTTCTATTTCTTTGGTCTTCACTATTTATAAAAGCAGCAAAATTAAAATAAGTAGAAAATAGCAGGGAGTGAGGGGTAGTCAAGGAGAAAGAGTTCCAAAATGAAGTTTTCTTCGCTTCGGTTTTCAGTATTTCACTTGTTCTGCTCCTTTCCAAAAACTGAATTGAGCCACTGGAAGTTGATGTGAAGAATCTTCTACTACTTTGGTAGAGAAGTAACTTAATGTTTTGGATCCATTTTCATCATTATTCAATTATTAAAAAGGCCACACAAATCTACCAATCAGGCAACGGCAGGGCTACGATCAAGGAAGAGACGCGGCGTCCAGGGACCCAATCCCAGCTTCTTGGCCCAGTAAAGGTGACTAGCCCACAACCATAACCCATGTGGTAAATATCTTAAAGATGAAGAAAATAAGGTCAAGTGATCTGATGTTCATTAAAAAGTCAAGAAATCCCTGGTACCAAAAAAAAAAGAAGTCAAGAAATAAGGCTGGGGGTATAGCTCAGTGTCACAGCTGGTGCTTAGCATGTGTGAGACCCTGAGTTTAATCCCACCAAAAAAGAAAAAGGTCAAGGAGAAAAGTAGCCCAAAAGGAGCCCTAAAATAACTACAGGACCCTGGTGTCCTGTTTTCATTTGTTCAAGAGATACTTTTCTCAAGTGTCTACAATTGCTAGACATTGTGCTAAACTGGGGGAAAAATATATAAAGAATTCTTATCACCAAGGAATTAACAATTGATTGGGGTAGATTCTTACACTATGATTTAATATCAAGGAAACGCCATTATCTGCAGTGATATGATCAACGACTTCAAAAAAGGCTAACAACAATGCAGGACCACCACACTAGCTATGTGCCCTTGGGCAAAACTAGCTTACTTCTCTGAATGTATGTTTCCTTGTCTATAAAACAGGGACTGGGCCAGGGATATAGCTCAGTGGCACCGCACATGCCTGGTAAGCGCAAGGTCTTGAGTTCAGTCCCCAGTACTGGGGGGGAAAAGACAAAAACAGGGAGCCAGGAGCAGGCTTATAATCCCAGCAAGAGGGAGGCTGAGGCAGGAGGAGCACCATGCCAGCTTGGGTACATAGTTTGAGTTCAAGGTCAGCCTAAACTATACAGCAAGACCCTGTCTCAAATACACACACACACACAAAGGATAGTAATACCTACAGAGTTTTAAGAGGAAAACACCCAGAACAAAAGAAAGTATTCAAGAAGGAGTTTTAAAGCCCTTGTTCAGGATTTTTCCTCATTTTATTAACATTACAACTGTTTTAACTGTGTACTAAGAAAACACTTCACAAATTATTAACACAAAGTTTTTAAACACAGAGCTTGTCTACGGGTCTTGCTCTTAAAGTTCAGGTTTTTTCATCTATGTTTGGTCTATTAAATTACCCTTGTTATACTTTGTCTACCCACTACAGGTCCCTCCCTTGGTCAAAATAACTAGAACGATCCTCCACACTCCTAGAGTTCCTTGTGTTATGCTATTCTCTAAACTTTTCATCTTCTCCACTGTTGACGAACTTCATAATTTCTTAGCCTGGGAGTCAAGGCTCTCTCCAATCTGAACCCTCCCAAAGTTCTGAAAGTCTCTGAGCCTTGGCTCCTGCTTTTCAAAATATTGGACCTGTAATCTGGCATTGTGCAACAATTTTTTAAACAAGCAGCAAAACCTTTAACCAAGTAATAACAACTTCTAGGAAACTTAAATTCAACAGAACATATACAAAAACTTCAGTTTCAAGAACTTTCATTGAGAACGATGAAAACTGGCAAATATATAAATGATCAACAAATAGGGATTGGTTACTACATTACAGCATATATTTAAAACAAGATAGCATATACAAGCCCTTACGATTAAAGTTCATTGCCATGAAAGATCTTAGTAAAACACAGTTTTAAAGGTTATGCAACAGTATATTCTCTCATTTTCCCTATGTGTATACAATGAAACAAGTAAACACCAAGATATTATCAGTGGTTTTCTCTGGGTGATGGCGGTCTATTTTTCTTTTTCTCCTTTGCTTCCTCTAGTTCTCAAAATTAATATATTTTGCTCACTATAAAAAAGGGTAAGTAGGGCCGGGGATTTAGCTCAGTGGTTCCGGCGCCTGCCTTGCAAGCGCAAGGTCCCCAGTTCGATCCCCAGTACCAAAAAAAAGTAAGTAAATATGCACAAACTATGCCTATCTTTCAGGCCCAATCTAAAACCACTTTCTCGCCCCAAAACTTTCCTTCTCCCTCATTTCCCAAATCACAGGATGCCTCTCTCTTACAACATTTAATTCTTAGCCAGCATGATGTCAGCTTTACACATCCTATCTCCAAAACAGAAAGAACTCTTTATGGAGAAAGGCCATTATACTGTATGTGGCTGCTGTAGCCAGGGGGCCAAGACTCCTACAGACGGTTCAGTCCAGGTCTAGGAACAGAACAAGCACGCTGACGTCATCCCGCTCGCCTAGAACACATCACGTGGTCGTCGGAGCACGTGACCCATGCCTGGTAAAGGAGGTCCATGTCGCACCTTAGTTCAAGATGTCGCCTTACACATTTCTCTCGGCAGCAAACTCAGCCGCCTAAGCCAAAGCCTCTCCTTGGTGCGGCATCGCCAACTGCCTGAATGTTACCTGTCTCCAAGGTCGGCTTCACGCACCCGCACGGGGTCGCTGTGGGGCGAGGCCCCAGCTCCTGCAAACGGCGCATGGCTATCAGTCGGTAAAACGCATCCGACGCGTCAAGATTTCCGCTTCCGCTTTCCCGGCCCAGCGCCTGCGCAGTAGCCGCTCTAGCGAGGTGGCGCGTTTCCGCAAGGTGGGCGCGGTAAGTGGCGCCGCGGGCCCTCCGAGGTCACTGGGCGCCCGAGATCTCTTGGACATCGTTCCCCTCTCAGTCGTCGGACTCCGCAGTCCGGTACTCAGTCGCTGCAGTTGCCCGCGTGTCCGCACAACCTGCAGCTCTGAGAGTTCCCGCGTTTTCTGAGGAGGCGGACGCATGAATGAAGAGTCACACGCAAAGATGTCTCTCTCGAATTAGTAATAAACGACCTACAGGCTCAACGATGACCCTGTTTTGTTAAGAAAAAGGATGAGTATATGCAATTACTACATAGCAAAAAAGACTGGATATTAAATGTTTACAATTCTCTTCGGTGGTGGGAATAGAGATGATTATTTATACTGCTCTGTGTATGCTGGTTTTTCCGTAATAAATACGATATTTTGTCAGAAAAGAATCCCAAGGTAATATTATTTCAAGTGTGATGGATGTTAAGGGAGCCCCACACCGGGTTAGGGGTTTAGAAATGGGAACTATTTCATGTACTCCACACATACTTAACCGGAACCGAAGCGAGGATGAAATTATGAGTCATTATGCGTGTTGGAAAGATTGTCATGGCTTCTCAGCACCTCTAAAAAGTTGAGGGCTAACGAGAAGCATTGTTTCATCCCATGCAATGACAGTTGTTACCCACTTCATGGTAAGGCGCTCTCTCACCTATATCGTTCCTTTGTATACATAATTCTGTTTCTAGGTGCTCATTCCGTTGGTTCAGAAGAAAAAATAAATCATATTACCTGTAATATAAACTATTCAAACGCGTACAAGTCCACAGATTAAAAAGCTTAACAACCGTGAAAACTTGTTTCTAAGTCTGTTCATTGTCACTGACAATGTCACTGGTAGAAAACCTCCAGTAGGAGATGGAAGTTTAAAAAGAAGATTGTGAATTTTTTAAAAAATGTTAACCGATTGTATTAATGTCTTGTCCTCTGGCAGATCTTTTCTACATGAAATTTGCAACGAGCTTCCATTGTTTTGCTTTTAGGAGGACCAGTTCTGTTTAGCAGGAGAAAGGAACCATTGGATGACAAGTACATTTGTAAAACTGGGCGGAAATGTCTGCCCTTGCCACTAGATGGCGCCATTGAAAGGATAGTGTCTTCCTTTGTGGAAAGCAGATGTTTTGTCCTGGAAGGCGTACTGACAGGTTTGAAGATAACACACAGGAAAAAAAACGTAATTACTAACTATAACAAAGACTGAAACTCAAAGCAGTCCTGGAGACACTAATGAAGTAGATTGCTACATTTTTTAAGGTAAAATCCTCTGAAAGCAGGAATTTAAATATGCAGCACTTTTATTTTTGTTCTATTTTTATAGTACTTAGAATTGAATCCAGGGACCGCTGAGCTACATCCCCAGCTGTCACCCCCTTTTGTAACAGGGTTCACTAGAGGAACAGATCAAAGCCCGTTTTTTATATTTGGAGACAAAAATCTCACTAAGTTGCCCAAACGGACTTGAACTTATGATCTACCAGTGCAGCCTCCAGAGTAGCTGGAATTACTGGCATGGGGCCACCGTGCCCTAGCTTTTATTAAGTTTTTATGATGTCTAAAGTTTTATCAGATTATTTCTAGCTTACAAAACAACCCCTTCTGTGGAGGTGGGAATAGGAGTCCTGCTTTTTAAAAAACAATGATGCCGGTCAGAGCACATCTGGTATTTAAAGAGCTGGAAGGCTCCTCAAAGGTGGGTTGAGAAGAGCAGAGGCTTTGTCCCACAGACTCTGGAACCATGAACATATTTGATCGGAAGATCAACTTTGATGCACTTCTAAAATTTTCTCATATAACCCCTTCAACGCAGCAGCACCTGAAGAAGGTCTATGCCAGTTTTGCCTTCTGTATACTTCTGGCAGCTGCAGGAGCCTATGTCCATGTGGTCACTCATTTCATTCAGGCTGGTCTACTCTCTGCCTTGGGCTCCCTGGGGTTGATGATTTGGCTGATGGCAGCACCTCAGAGCCATGAGACTGAGCAGAAAAGATTGGGACTTCTTGCTGGATTTACTTTCCTTACCGGAAGTTGGCCTGGGCCCTGCTCTGGAGTTTTGCATTGCTGTCAATAGTAGCATCCTTCCCACCGCTTTCATGGACACAGCAATGATCTTCACCTGCTTCACCATGCGTGCACTCTATGCTAGGAGCCAGAGCTACCTCTTTCTGGGAGGTATCTTTTTTTTTTTTTTTTTTTTTGGTACCGGGGATTGAACTTGGGACCTTGTGCTTGCGAGGCAGGCGGTGGAACCACTGAGCTAAATCCCCGGCCCATCTGGGAGGTATCTTGATGTCAGCCATGAGCCTGATGGTGTTGTCTTCCCTTGAGAACCTTTCCTTTGGATCTTTTTGGCTTTCCCAGGCAAACCTGTATATGGGACTGGTGGTCATGTGTGGCTTTGTCCTTTTTGATACTCAACTCATTATTGAAAAAGCTGAACATGGAGATAAGGATTATATCTGGCACTGCATTGATCTCTTCTTAGATTTTGTTACTCTCTTCAGAGAACTCCTGATGATCCTGGCAATGAATGAGGACAAGAAGAAAGAAGAAGTGAGATGACCATCCAGCCTTTCTCAATTTGACTTCTCTCCCTCCACCCCTCATTTCTTTGTACACATTATAGGTGGCGTGTTCTATGATAACGAAAAGCATCAGAAAAGCTTTTGTATTTTGTGGTTTTCTCTATTTTGAATTTTTTGGTCAAAAAACTGGTTAGCAGAATATAGTTTGGAGTTTGGCTTCGTGTTCCTGGGGTTTTTCCTCCCTTTTTGTCAGCCCATCTATAGGCACTTGTGCTCTGGCAGCCAGTCCACCTCAGTGAGGAGTGGGGCCAGCAGAGAGTGCAAACTCCAGGAGTCCATGTTCCCACCAAACCTTAACCAGCGGACCCCAAATTGTTTGCTAGAGCCACCTCAGCCCACCCTTCCTCAACATTGTTTGATTTGCACACAGTTCTTGTGGGGCTCTGGGCAGTGTGTTTTCTACTGGGAAGTTTCGCTGGCCCTGTAGTTAACTCAGGCTCATATTTGAGCTAACAGCCCTACAAAGAAAGCAAAGAGCCCCTTTGATGGATGCTTTGCTTCCTCTGAGCTTCTCAAGCTTGTCAGGCAAATACCTTCTGCCTTGCCATTACAAAGGGAATGTAAGCTTCTGTGCATTCTCTTTCCCACCCCTGCCTGACCTTCAGGGAATCTGCTTTCCATCCACAAGGTGGGAGGATTTCAGCAGAAAGGGAAGACTGTCTCATCAGGCATTTATGAAAAGGCTGAGTATATATGGCAAGATAAGACAACACAGAATTCCCCAATTGACTCTGTATTTTTGTTGTTATTTTTTAAATTGGTTGTCACCTTAATTACTAAATGGCCTCCAACAGGTGGGTGTGACTAAAGGTCCCAAGAGAGGAAGGATAAGGAAGGGGAATGGTTGAGTCTCTGATCCTGCCAGACAAATCTAAAGACTGGGGGGCAGTGGAGGACAGATCCCCTCAACTGAGTGTGTCCTAGTACAGATAAGCAGTGCTGTGATGATTTGGGAGGCAGCATCTTAAGAGCCCTACAGTGCACTTTTACCTGGACACCTAGGTAGTGTCAGGCCAGAGGTTCAGGTCAGTAGATGAATGTTCATTTTATAGATGCACTTTTAATTTTGGTCTGCTTACCTGTTTCCAGAAATCTGCAGGTAGGCACCAGGTGACCAAACTTGCAAGAGCTCCAGTTCCCTGCAGCTTTATGGTTATAGGTGTGGATGAGCAGTCCTAATGGTGGATCACCAGTTCCTTTCCTGTGGGTTCCCACAGTCAGCTTACACAGAAGGGCAGCATCAGAAGTGGTCATGGCCCTGGCTACTCATGGGTTTTAATGCAAGGAGGCCAAGCCATTGAAAGTGCATTTATCAGCAGGATGCTATTTGTGAATCTCCCTGTTCACAACCAGTGCACAGTTTGACACAGTGGCTGCTGGTTGTCGTGTGCTGTGTTGCTAAGCCATCCCATGAAACTTCCTGGAGTGCCACACCACCCAGAATGGCTCACTTATGCTGAGGATGCTGCTCTTTGCCTTAGCTGCTGCCTCTAGCCTCTGGCTTGAGACCTTACTAAAAGGACTTCCTTCCTAGTAAGCCCCCATTAGCAACTCTCCATAAATTTAGTGGTTCTTTGCCAAGCCTGAGGATCTGAAATTCACCTCTTGAAGCTAAACTCCACCTCTTGTGCTTTTTTGCTTGGAATAATGGAGTTTTTCTTTAGAAACAGTGCCAAGAATGATAGCATATAAAGTACTTTAAAAGTAAATGCCTAACAGATTTTTAATACAAGTATCACTGTAATTTCCACTTTCTTTTCTAGTTCCTTGGTTTCAGCTCGGGCTGCATTCTCTAACTCATACTGTGAAGACAAAGGTGTTTTTGATTCAAAAATATATATCTACATAGACTTAATTTGTAAAAAATAAATAAAATTCCTTAACCTTTAAAAAAAAAAAACAAATAACAAGCAGGCCGGGGATTTAGCTCAGTGGTTTTGCCACCTGCTGCGCAAGCACAAGGACCCGAGTTCGTTCCCTGGTACCAAAAAAAAAATGATGCCGGGGATGGTGGCACACAACTGTGATCCCAGCACTCAGGGAGGCTGAGGCAGGAAGATTGCTGTGTGTTTGAGGCCAGCCTGGGCTACACAGCGAGACCCTGTCTCAAAACACCCAAATGATTTGATATAAGTGGTCATCATTCTGTGGTACTTTTAAGATATACTTCTCATAGAATGATTCTTTTTTTGGTACCGGAGATCAAACTCGGGACCTTTCACTTTAGAGGCAGGCACAGTGCCACTGAGCTACAATCCCCAGCCCAGTAGAGTGATTCTTAACCTCTCATTTGAGTAAGTACTGCTTTGAGAATTAAAGTTTTGGACCTTGTCACACATCATTTTTGATGTAATATCTTAGGGTTCATGGATTTCTAAGAACCACCATTGTACCTACCGTGAGGGGAGGGCAGCACAAAATATATTACATGGATTCTAGCAGGTTATTTCCCTTTTTTTTCTTTTCCTTCCTTACATGGTGTGTGTGTGTGTGTGTGTGTGTGTGTGTGTGTGTGTGTGTGTGTGAGAGAGAGAGAGAGAGAGAGAGAGAGAGAGAGACTGGGGACTGAACCCAGGGCCTTTGCACTGAGCTACATCCCCAGCCCTTTTTTGAGACAGTCACTAAGTTGCCCACACTGGGCTTGAATTTGTGATCCTCCTGCCTCAGCCTTCCAGGATGCTGGGATTACAGCTGTGCACTACCACACCTGGCTTCTTGTGGGATTTTAATTCTATGACCGCAAGGTTGTAAACCATGAAAAAAACTGGAAGACAATTAGATGCACATTGCTGTTTGGTTGTAAATGATGAGAAAGTAGTGATGCTATGTGTGTGTACAGAAGTAGGGGAAGAAAACAGGTCAAAGAAAACCTAAAATGTAGAGAAGAGTCTGCTTCCCCTAATGCCCTATATTCCTCTTTCCATCTACTCCCCATCTTTTTCACTTTTGTGCCCTTTGTGTATAGTACACATGCAAATCTCTTAGGTTCATCTTCATGAGACACTATTAGATCTTGAGATTTCACTCAACTCTTGTCTGTATTCTTAACCCCCTATGGCAGGTAAAATTGAGACAGAGGCATTCTAAGATGCAGTATCATCATGAAAGGCACTGAGGAAGTCAGATGTGACTTTGGGGGAGCACTGAGCCTCTCTGAGGTTATTAGCTTGTCTGTAAAATGGGAGTGGTAATCACTGCCCAGCCTATTTCACAGATTTTCATGTTGATTAAATTCAGTAAGGTATGCAGAAACACACATAATGAAGAGTCACCCAGATTTAAGGAACCGTCTATTTTAGGATTGCTCTTCCCTCAGTATGTTACTTGAGTGGCTGGGGTTGTAGCTCAGAGGCTCCATGCCTGCCTGGCAAGCGCAAGGTCCTGAGTTTGATCCCCGGTATTGAAATATATATATATATGTTACTTGAGTATTTAAGTAATCATTGTATAATGAATACATCCTGAGATGGGGGGTAGCAAATAGGAGTGAAACAGCATTGTAACTTCCCACTATACTAGTGTTCTGAACCCTAGGCTGGAGATGAGAATCATCCAGGGAGCTTTTTTTTGGAGGGGGGGTAACCAGGGATCAAACTCAGAACCTTGTTCTTGTGAGGCAGGCATGGTGCCACTGAGCTAAATCCCCAGCCCTAATGTGACAGGCCTAGCAGTGTTGGGACTGCCTGATTTTTTTTTTTTTTGGTACCGGGGATCAAACCCAGGACCTCCTACTTGCCAGGCAGGCGCTGTGCCACTGAGCTAAATTCCCAGCCCCTAGCTTTTTTTTTTTTTTTTGGTACTGGGGATCAAACTTCGGACCTTGTGCTTGGGAGGCAGGTGGCGGAACCACTGAGCTAAATCCCTGGCCCAGCCCATAGCTTTTTAAATAAAAAATATCCTAAAGACAATGCTGCATCTTGGGTTATATCTTGAAGCAGTGAAAAAGATCAGTGGAAAAACTAGAGAGAACTAAATAATGTCTGTAGCTTAGTTAATAATAATGTAGTTTTTCTTAGTTTTGATATATGAATCGTAGTTACATAAGATATAACATTAGGATAAGCTAGGTGAAAGGGATATAGGAACTTCTGAATTATCTTTACAACTTTTCTATAATTCTAAAGCTATTTCTTTAAAGGTATTTTTTTTTAAGATTATTTTAAAAGTTCAAAGAAAAGTTCCTGATTGTTGCTCAAGATAGGGGAATCAGTCAAGAGGGAAGCACTCTGGGAATCTGTATTTTTGAAATCCTCTCCAGTGAATCTTATGTACCACAAGGGTTGAAAGAACCATTGTTGTATATCATTATGTCAGAAGGCTTGGGATCAACTTCTATATAGTCTAGTATCTAGCACAAGGCCTATGTGGAGAACTTGTGCAATTGTGTCCTTGCTGAATGAAACTTTATTTGCAAAAGTCTCCTTACTCTTAGTCCCCTATAATAGTAGAAGAAAAATTGAAAACAACCAAAATTCCAAGGGACATTTCAGACATCTTTCTGCCTGGTCTCTTTGTCATTGTCATCTTGACCATTATCTCCAGATGATTGTTCCTAACATAAGAAAACTACTATTTCATTGTTCAAAAGTTTTATTTAGTTTCTTGTTATGTAATGTGATACACTTCTTAGGTGTGTAAAATTCTCTACACTCTAAATATAGATTAGCTGTGTAATGAAAGATTTTTTTTTAGCATGCAAGCCAACTTGCATATGGACCCCACTTTAATCATAGTTGTATGCTGTTCTTTTGAGCATCCCTTGAACTCACACATCTCTGGTTGACATACAATAATGCTGCTGTTCTCTCCTGTGCAAATCTTCCCCCATCTTTCAAGGTTCAACTCCAGCAACAGGTGAGTGTTTCCTCTATTGTATCTACTATTCACATGGCACTAATGCTTACTAGTTTCTTTTAGAATTATAGGTTTTCTGTTTTATTCTTCCATGAAACTACATTGACCCCCAACAAGCAAAGACTGTTTGCCATATAGATCTTCTAACCCCTACAGCTCTATGATGCTGTCCATACAGTTAAGCATATAGTTTAATGTACATTTTGCATAAATACAATATTTAAAAAGTAAAAAATAGAAAATCCAAATTCAAATACAAAAAGTAAACTACATTCATCATTCCAAAATATCTTTTAAGGAGCCCAGAACAAAAATTATTCAGATTAGCTAAAAGAAACAAAATATGGATAAAATTTTGATGGTACTGTTATATCAATAATTGAACAACTTTGACAAGAAAACTATATACTTCCAAAATATAACCACTTTTTTGCTCTTAAGAATTAAATGTTTGTTGGCTGGGGATTTAGCTTAGTGGTTCCGGTGCCTTCCTCGAAAGCGCAAGGACCCGAGTTCGATCCCCGGTACTAAAAAGGAATTAAATGTTTGTTATTAGAAGGAAAAATTATTCAGCCTTCCCTTGTCTCTTCCCTTCACACACACACACACACACACATATATACACACACACGTGCACACACACACAAACATGTTTTTGAGTCTTAAAAATGTTAGTCTTCTCAAATATAAAAGGAAAAGAGACTAAGTTAAATTATTCATGAAAATTGTAGGTATTTCTACAATACTTTGAGAAAAACACACATAAAATATTAAGATGTACATTCCATTGGATTACAACTTTATGGTTGAACATTGTTAAAACAAAACATAGTTATACACATCGTTTTCTGGATGAATCTCTTGAACATGTGGAATTGCTGCTACTTCTGGTTCTTCTACTTTGGGTTTTTCTTGCATTTCTGTAAAATCAAATAAAATACAAAAATAGATTCAATAAGTAGTATTGAGACAATTGACTGTCCACTTGGAGGGAAAAAAATCCTGCCTCATATCAAGCACAAAAACAAATTTCAAGTAGATGAAAGTTTTGTTTTATTGCAGTACTAGGGATTGACCCCAGGGGCTCATGCATACTAGGCAAGTGCTCTACCACTGAGCTACACCCCCAGCCTTGGCACAGATTTTTAAAATATCATCATGTACAGTGCTGGTAAAGGTGTAGAGAAAGGGCACTTATATAAATTCTTGATTTGTATTAATTGCCACAACATTTCTAGAGGCCAGTCTGAATATATCCAGACTTTTTTTTTTCTTGAGGCAAAGAGTTTCACTATGTAGTTCAGGCTGGCCTTAAACTTACTATGTAGCTCAGGCTGACCTCGAACTCACAGCAATCCTCTGCCTCAGCCTCCAGAGGGCTGGGACTACAGGTGTGGGCCACCACATCCAGCTCAGACTTTAAATATTAGTACTGTGGGCTGACCAATTCAACTTGTAGGGAATAATCCAAAAGATAATCAGACAAGCTTAAGCTTCCAAAACCCCAGTTTCCTTATACTGTATACAAAGTGGAGATATTACTGATTCCATAGGGTTTAAAACATTGAATAAAATAATCTGTGTAAAACATTTAATCTATCTAGCACACAAGAAGTACCAAATAAATGTTAAATAAATAAATTTTATTCCCAATGATGTTGAACATTATGTATTAGTAAAAGTTGACAATGTGGTTGTTTGTTGGTATAAGGGTTGATTGAATAAATTATTGTACATTCAGATAGTACAATATTACACAATATTACAAAAGACATCGTAAAGACAGCTAGATTTCCATTTTTTTTTTCTGGTACTGGGAATCAAACTCAAGACCTTGCCAGGCAGGTGTAGCTGAGCTACATCCCCAGCCCAAGATGGCTATAATATATAAGATAAATTGAAAAAAGTTACAGAATTGTTTTTTAAAAATTAAAAAACAACAACAGCCTTAACATTGGGGATTGGAGATAGGAGATAGTATCATGTGGACCTTTTTTTACTCTATATCCACTTGTTTGAATTTATTATAATGAACACATTACTTTTATAATTAGCAAAAGAATAGAGTCCCATTTGTTTGGTAAGGCAAAACCAAAACTAAAATTAGCATTAATTGCTTGCCCATATTGGCCTTGCTGAGTTTAAATGATTAGGTAGGACTCCCACCAGCACAGGGAGAGTTTTATACATCTGTTTTTAAAAATTTGTTTTGAGTAGTTCCTCAAAAGCTGCATTACTTGGAAACTAATTAACACTATATTTTTGTTGCTCTCATCTTTTAGCAGAAAGAACAAATAAGCTACCAAATAAACCCCAAAGGGGTTTCTTCAGAGAACAGTTTCCTGAGGATAAATACCTTGTATGGTCTGAGAGATTCAGACCATTTCTTGTTTTTGTTTTTTGTTTTTGTAGTGCTAGAGATCATGCATGCCAGGCAAGTGCTCTGCAACTGTGCTAAACTTCCAACCTTTAGCCCACTTCTACTGTCCACAGTATTGCACAAAGGGAATCAGGATTCTGTCATGCCCCTGAGGCAAGTCAAAATAAAGAAAGAGGGCTGAGCATGATGGTGTACACCTGTAATCAATCCCAGCACTCAGGGAGGCTGAGGTATGAGGATCATCATGAGTTTGAGGCCACCCTGGGCTACATAGCAAGTTCAAGGCCAGCCTGGAATACTTAGGGAGACTCTGGCTCAAAACACCAAGAAAAAAAAAAATCAATCACATTTTTTTTTAACTGTGCTGGAAGCCAGGTGCGGTGGCACAGGCTTGTAATCCCAGCACTCTGGGAGGCTGAGGAAGAATGATTCCAAGTTTGAACCCATCCTGGGCAATATAGTGAGAGGTGTCACAAAATTTAAAAAGAACTGGGACTGTAGCTCAGTGTGAAGGCCCTGAGTTCAATCCCCAGTACCGCAGAAAAACTCCAACATACTTTGCTGAAGAAGCTTTTCAGAAATAAATCTGAAATAGAGAGGGTTTTGGTGAAGCTGATAAAGCCTACCACAATGAGTTCCCTAGTTTCCAGGATCACACTTTACACTTTTGTAACTCCATCAGTACTTTGTAGTATGAATTCACATGCCATTACTTTATCAGGAAAATTAAATCTCCTGGAAGAACTTCATTCATCTAGTTTTCTTGTTAATCTAGATTTCATTGTGCTTTAAAATAATTGTGCTCATAAGTCACCCTATATTGAGTTCATTTCACTGATGATAGCTTCTTAAAATGAGTAGTATATACAAGTACTTACTATGCAATACTTGTATTTTCAATTAGTTTTTTTCAATTCTTTGGAAATTTGCCAAGACAAACTTGCATTGCATGACAAGTATTTTTTTACTTGAAAATAGATAATCATAGCCATAGTACCTATTGAAATAACTGAGCATTGTTAAACAAGGTTGTAAATTGCTACTCTGAGTGAGATGTACCTATATTGTTGCTATAAACACCTCCTACCTTGAGGAAGAGTATAAACATCCTTAGCATCTTCTCCATGTGCTTTAGGATCCTGGCCTTGGGGCTTGCCTGTTTCTTGGTATGGTTCTGGAAGATGTTCTTTAAGTACATGCTCATTTTTATATGTTTTAGTAGAGAGGTCTTCAGGCTCATGTGTTCCTTGGTATATTTCAGGTGAATATTCTTCAGGCCTAGGTGTTTCTTGGTTTATTTCAGGTGAATATTCTTCAGGCCCAGGTGTTTCTTGGTTTATTTCAGGCAAATATTGTTCAGGCTTGGGTGTTTCTTGGATTGTTTTATGAGAGAGACTGTTAGGCACATTCATTTCTCTGTATGTTTTATGAGAAAAGTATTCAGATTCCATTGTTTCTTGGTATGTTTTTGTAGAAAGGTCTTTAGGCTGAGCTATTTCTTGTGTTTGGAGAAAGAAGCCTTCAGTCTCAGCTTGATCTTGTCTCAAAGTGGGTTTTTCTGGTCCAGCTGTGGCTTCGTCTGTGTCCTCTGCGTAGTCTCTAGGCACATCCAGTTTGAGGGCTGCTTCAGGAGTGCACCCTTCCTGGTCAGCAACAACTTCATAGGTTGTAGAATAAGGGGCTTTGGGAACACTTGTTTCTTGGCACATTTGAGGAACAAGGACTTCAGACTGAACTGTATCTTGCCATATTTTGAAAGGATGAGCTTGAATCACAGCTACTTCTTGGCATGTTTTAGGAGCAAGAACTTCAGGCTGAGCCACATCTTGACATACTTTGGAAGAATGGTCTTGAAGTACAGATATCTTTTGGCACATTTTAGGAGCAAGGTCTTCAGGTTCAGCCATATGTTGGCATGTTTCAGAAGAATGGTTTTGTACCACTATTTCTTGGCACTCAGAAGAATTTTCCTGGTATGTAATGCTTTCTTGAGGTAGTTCAAAAGAATGTTCCTCAGCCACAGTGTTTTTTAGGGAAGCTACCAAAGCAGGGGCTTCAGCTACTCTCCCACGTGACTCATTTTCTTCCTCTTTAGGTACCAGTGCTTCCTCCATCATTTTCTTTGCTATTTGTGACGGAGGCTCTATCTTTGGTTCTGCATTTTGTTGTCTCTTCGGGCCTTTTCCTTTTCCTTTTCCTGTTTTTTGCCACTTGCGTTTCTTCTGTTCTCTGCAGAGAGATCAGAATTAGTGTCAGCAGCAGGACTACAGAATTCAAATAAATACTCTTATTAACAGTTCCAGGATCTTACTGTTTTGTTGCACCACCTTGAACAGGTCTCTTAATCTCTTTGGGCTTCACTTTCCTTATTTGTACAATGAACAGTGCTACATGATGTCAATTGTTAGGAGAGGAAATGTTCCTCCAGGACTTTTTGACTTTAACACCTTGCACACCAGTGTTCTAGTAGCAGTAGCAGCAGCAGCAGCAGTAGTAGTAGTAGTAGTACTAGTAGTAGTGGTGGTGTGTGTGTTAGCATATCCTTAAAGTTGGGTTATGGGCAATGTATAATTCCTGTATAAAATAATAGAGGACAAGGCTGGCATGGTGGCACATGCCTGTAATCCCAGCTCTTGGGAGACTGAGGCAGGAGGAACACTGTGAGCTCAAGGCCAGCCTTGGCTACGTAATGAGTACAAGGCCAGCCTGAACTGTACAGTGAGACCCTGTCTCAAAAAAAAAATTACATTCTGGTCTATGATTTCGTCTCTTTGAGTTTAGTGAGGTAGACTCACTACTCCCTGGGTAAACTGATCCACCTGAGTTTCTGATCTACAATGTAGGCATGGCTCCTCATCTGTGCAGGCTGCAGGTGGATGGTGCATATGGCTTGCTTGTCTGATACAGTAGCTTCTTTAAGGAATGTTAAGTAGCTATCGAATATATCAAATGAGGTGTACTGTAAGCTGAATCAAAAGCTGCATGAAAAAATTATTGAGGTTAAGAAGCCTGGTAGAATGGCATGAGTGACCTTATTATACCTAATTAATAGATTAAAGATCTAGAAGATGAAATAAGATATATGCGAATTGCAGCCAATGACAAATTGTTAGGCACTGCAAATATAACCAAATACAGATGGCTAATACAGATGGGCTGGGGGAAAGGGGGAAGGTACTATAAATAAGCATTTCATCATTTTTCTAAACTTATTGAAATTCTGTTCCATGCTACCCCACTCTGTGGAGCCTTCTCTAACAGACCACAGACACCACAAGACTGAAATGCTCTCCCTGCTTATACTCCTATAGCAGTGATGCTGAATCTATGGCACATGTGTTGTTTTTCTTTTAAGACAAAAGATGTTAATGTATTAGTTGTTTTTTCTAAACTAAAACTTCAGTTGTCAGATTTAATTGCAGTGATGGCACTTTGTGATAAATTAGTGAGTTTTGGGTTGCATTATCAGCACTTGTCTCTAAAAGGTTTTCTATAGGATTTATTGTGTCATGATTTAAGCCAGGCTGCCTCGTACTGTAGTTATTTCTGAAGAGACCATATTTCTTTTAGCAAACTAAATATTCTTTGGAGATAAAGCCAGTGTTTCTTGTATCTTTGTAGTGTTCATAATTCCTTGCACATTTTTTAAGAATCCACATCATTCTACATTTGCATATGTTTGAAATTTTTCATAGTAAAATATTTAAAGATTACTTCACTAAAAACAATTTGAAGTCAAAATCATTTATATATTGTGGTGGCTCATTCCTGAACTCTGGGCATCTTAGGCAGGAAGATCACAAGTTTGAGTCCAGCCTGAGCAATTTAGGAACTTAGTAAGACCATATCTCAAAATTTTTAAAAATGAAAAAGGGCTGGGTATGTAGCTCAGTGGGAAAGCCATGGGCTCAATCCTCAGTAACACCCCAAAAAGGATAAAAAGAAATATGTAAAATAAATACTATCAAATAAACACTAAATAATATAAATATTATTTTGCTATTTTATATAATTAAATAATAAGAATATTAAATATAAGAATCCTATAGGAGAAAAGGAAATTGAAGATGATGTTCTGGCACCACAGCATTTTGAACTATTGCTCCAAGTAACCAAGGTAACAAGACAAATTATAAAGCTCTTGTTGTCGGGGCTTTTTTTTAAAGATGACATATCTGAATTCTTCAGTAAATATTTATTTTCCCCTAGATATTAATTATTAAATAATATGTTATATAGATTTCTTTATGGGGAGATCTGAGTAATATAATGGTCCATGTCTTCCCTGATAGTTTTCAAAACAATACAAAAGTTTTGGCATGGCCTAAACTCTCTCCTGATTGTGGACAAGTCACTTAATCTCTCCCTGCCTTGGCTTCTCTGTATGTAGTATGTAATAATATCTGCCCAACTGCATGTAGCAGTTGTAAGAATGACACCTAACTTAACATAGATGAATCATTCAAATACAGTAAAACTAGTTCTCTCATATTCATATAGAAACATTTATAGTCCTCCCTATGTGTCTGGCACTGTTGTCAGTAGCTAACTTCTGTAATCTCACATCAACCTACGAGGTGGTTACTATTATCTCCATTTGGCAGATAAAAAACTGAGGCACAGAGAAGTTTAGTAATTTGCCCTGGGTTAACAACTAGGAAGTGAGGAAGTCAGGCTTTATATCTAGTTGATCTGGCCAGTCTGCCAGTCTCTGAACTATTACGCCATGCTGCCTCACTCTGAAGACACTAAGGTTTCACCATGTATGTGTGTTGTGATGAAAAAAGAGGGCCTAGCTCTCAATAACATAGAGAATGTCACCACACAAGTCTAGCCAACTGCCAAGCTCACCAAGGTGTCATCTACTTCAGAGAATTCCTCAGACTTGTGCCCTCAGCTCAGTAAACTTGGAGAATCAATTCTGTCAGCACAATGACACAAGCCCTGTTTGTTAGGGGCAGAGCTCACTGACTAGGCACAATAAAACTGATAACTAAACCTAAAGACTAATTTTTAAATGAACAGTGAGAAGTACAAAGTCACTTAGCAGAGGGTGCTTAGGATGGCAAATGAATGTAAGGTAAACAAAGCCACTCTTACTCTGTGGGAAACCCAGTAATGATCAGAAGTCTGGTCAATGGGTGTAGAAGTGGGGAAGCTAACTGGATAACCTTCAACAGGACCCAAATATGGAAGTTTCTGCTATAAAATCATGGTTGCATTCCTGAAAATTCTCACCTGAGAAGTCATGCACTAAAAAGTAACAGTGGTTGGGGGGGGTGACTTGGAACAAACAACTCAAAACCTATACAATCTTTTAACATTAACAAAACCAGTAATTGGTACCAAGAGAGAAACCTTGGATAATTCAGATAGGCAGTCTCTGATGGCTGGAGTCTGCCTCAGGGGATAGTGAAAATGTAGAGAAGCAACAGTGTCGGGCCAGGGATTTAGCTCAGTGGTTCTGCCGCCTGCCTTGAAAGCGGAAGGTCCTGAGTTCGATCCCTGGTACCAAAAAAAAAAAAAAGTGAAAAAGAACTCAGAATGAGAAGCAACAGTGTCATTGTAAGCTCGTAGTCACTGGACCTTAAGCTGGCCACAACGGTAAATGCAACCTGCCACATGGCGAGAGCTCTGCAAAGCTGGCACACCTCTCTGGGGAGGGAGCCCTGGGTGCAGGCTGAAAAGGATCCTGCTTTCATAGTGGCCACACAAGGGGCCCTTCCCTCTTCCGCTGAAGGTTTTAATTCTGTTTCCACTATTCTGGTCCTTTTGACTAAGAAAAATGAACCGACACCACTTCCACATTGTACGGGCATCATTTTCCTCTTTACCAATCATATGTGAGCTAACAGGCATTACAGAAACATCTGAGGTAGCAGAACAGACAGCCCTGTTCTGGCGGGGAGTGAAAAATGCCCTTAATAAGAGGGCAAGCTGGGCACAGTGCATGCCCATAGTCCCTGCACTTGGGTGACTGAGGCAGAAGGATCTTTTGATTCTAGGAGTTCGAGACTAGTCTGGGCAATGCAGAAAGCCTATCCCAAAAAAGGCAACTAAATTTTTAAATGAATGCTTTGCAAAATCATTCTCAAGTGGGGATGATTTTCTCTCCTTTTCCCCAAATCACCCCAGAAGACATTTAACATGTCTAACAAGATATTTTGGCTGTCTCAACTGGGATGGGAAGAAAGAGGTGCGATTGGTTTCCAGAGGTCTGAAAACAGCATCTACAATGCACAGGACAGCCTCCCAAAATAAAAAACTATCCTGCCCATAGTATCCCTGGTGCCCAGGCTCTGTGGGCTCCCTTTTTCTATCTCCAAGCAAGCAAGTCCATTGCCATAGTCATGTTCTAAATGAATGCAACTGATGCTGCCTAATTTATAATCACTTTCCTGTACTCACTCCCTGAGCTTACATTGGTGACATTGGTGGTAGATTATTATTATTACTACCGAAGTATTTGTCACTCATTTACAATGTTTGGGGTTATTCTGAGCTGAGAAAAATCATACTTAGTGACCAAGGGTGACACTAATAGAAAGTTCCTCCACAATGAACTGTTAACAAGATGCTTGTATGTCTACACATATATTACCAGGATAGCCACACACCAGGCTTCTCCACCACATCATTTGGTTGCCTGGTGCTTTAATTAAAAGAGACCAGGGATAAAATTCTGTTGCTACAACTTTATGGCTTTAGGCAAGAGAGTTAACTCGTTGGAGATTAGTTTCTTGGTTTTGGTTTTGGTGGCTTTTTTTTAAAACAAGGATAACAGCACATCATGCATAGGGTTGATGCAAAGACAGAAGTGTGTTAGTGCAGAACTGCTCACCACATAACCTATGCTGGACAAATATTAGTCCCCTTCCCTGGTGATATACCATACCGAAATGCCCATTGTGAAGTTTGCTTTTCTTGTGCTTCAGCTTTTCTTTTTCTGAGTTGTTCTCGGTTCCGCAAGCTCCAAGTTCCAATGATTTCTGTAGGATGAAAATGAAAGTTACTGGAGGGAGAGATGACATGTGGTATCGGTCAGCAGAAGAGTCCTATTGCCAAGTGGTGGAATCCCTGTTCTGGGTTTTTCTTCGAGATTTTGAGGGCATGGGCCATATCCTTATGCCTCCAGACAGAATCTAGGGTAGATATTTAGTAAATATTTTTTGAATAGAAAGATCAGAGACCTACTCAGACATGGTATTTGTACATTAGTATGCTACCAACCTATTCATGTCATATATATTCAACATTGAACCTAACAATTGAATTTCATTTGGTTCTCATCCAATTCAGTTGGTGACCAGAATCATGGAAAGAATTAAGTTCATGAACCACTATATCACTGTGTCATTCTGCTATCTTTAACATAATAACCTGGTTTCATTTTATTCCTCATTTCCATCTAGACCATACATACAAAGTTGTAATGATAACATATCACAGTTTGTTTTAACCTGACATTATATCAGAAGTATTTCTCATGAGATAGTCATCCTATGATTTTACTAATGTCATAGTACTTAATATAGCCAATGCACTCTTATTTACCTGGTTTATATCCAGCATTTAGGCTGTCACCATCATATCAAAACTACTGCACATCGGACCAGAGATTTAGCTCAGGGGTTCCGCTGCCTGCCTCACAAATGCAAGGTCCCGAGTTTGATCCCTGGTACCCCCCCAAAAAAATTCTGGGGCTGGGGATTTAGCTCAGTTGTTTCCCCACCTGCTGCACAAGTGCAAGGACCCAAGTTTGATCCCCAGTACCAAAAAAACAAAAACAAAAACTACTGCATATCAAACTATTGCCTTGCATATCAAAAACTATTATAAGTGTATTCATTGCATACAACTTTTTCCTCTTTTCAACCTTTCCTTTAAGATAGTGTTTCTTCAAGTTCTTTAGAATATTAAGAATATTATCAAGCTAAATGAGATGGGCCATACTTGTAATCTGAGCTACTCAGTAGGCTGAGGCAGGAGGATGGCAAGCTCAAGGCCAGCCTAGGTGACTGAGTAAGACCCTTTCTCACCATAAAAAATAAAAAAGGATATAGCTCAGTGGTAGAGCACCTCTGCGTTCAACCCTAGTACCCTCAAAAAGAGTATTATCAAAAAGTTTCTTCTCTCATCTGAGTTTGAGAAAAGCAAATGGGTGGGCCATGTAGAACCTCTTAGAGCCTGTGGAGTGATGCAGATGTGTACCATGGCACCTTTTTTCTCTTAGGGTAAAGATTTTTTCCCCCTTGTACTAAGGATTGAACCCAGAGCCCTCTCACTGTGGTACACCCCCACCCTTTCCCAATTTTTAGACAAGTTTTTGCTAAGTCACTAAGTTGCCCAGGCAAGGCTTGAACTTGCAATCCTCCTGTCTCAGCCTCCAGAATATCTGGGATTATAGGCATGCACCATTGTGCAGTGCTAAGGACAAGGTTCTCTTTTTCTTTTCAATTTTAATCTTATATTTATTTGCTTATCTCTTTATTTTTATTTAATTTAATTTTTATTAGTACATGTTGACAGTATGTAATGATTACACTCATCATGAGGAGTTGGTACATGTACATAACACATCTTAATTATTTTTACTCCCCCTGCTCCCATCTCTCTCTCTCCATGTCTTGGTCCCCTACCCATTCGTAAATCTATTCTCTGTTTCCTATTATCTCTTTCCTTTTGCTCTTTAAATTATTTTTACTTGATTTTCTCGTATAAGAGAAACTATGCAACATAAAAGTTGGTGTGTCTGATTTATTTCACTTAACATTATTGACAGACTAGGATTCTTCATAGGGAAAAATTCTACTTTTATTTTTACCAACTTCTGATTAGAATTACCATTTCCTACAGTTATGAATATAGGTAACAAATCACAATAATTCTAGTAGTATGTGATTTTGTTACCAAAAGAAATAAGATTTTTTCATATACTGCTGTTGTTTCAGATGCCTTAAAAATATCATTTATTAGACATGATTTGTTTGATTTGACACTATGATTATTAGACCCACAACTGTATCTTGTTATTTAATGCCTCTATAAATAAACACATATTATTGTATCATAATTTTAAAATGTTGATTATTAATGTAATTGCTTCCTTTATAATCTGTATACTCAATTTTATATATTTTTGGTTTTGTTTGGGGTTTTTTTTGGTACCGGGGATCGAACTCAGGTCCTTGCACTTGCACAGCAGGTGGCAAAGCCACTGAGCTAAATCCCCGGCCCTCAATTTTATATATTTTAAATGTTTATTCTAAGAAGGGATCTTGACCTCATCAGAATACTGAAAAGATTCATCAAACCAAAAAGTTTTAAAACATTATCTTAGGATGTCTCAAGACCTCAAGTTCTGCAAAACATTTTGCAAAATGCTACTTTAAAACAGATCCCAGGACTGAGATTAGGAATCAAAAGTGTAAGAACTACTACAGTTGTTACCATCTATTTCCAGATCACTTTCCAAAAGTTAGACCAAATTTATGCTACCATAGAAGCGTAGGGGTATATTTTCATTATCTTTCATTTAAATGGATATCTTATTAATAATTTGTTATTACCTTCTGTTTCTCTGGCTTATTAGAATTTTAGCCCTAAAAGTCATTTCAGGTGGTTCTATAACCAGTTCTTCCCACCTAAGTTTATATGAATGTTCTCAGTTGGCCTCTTTTTTTTGCCAGATTCATAAAGAAGAAAATAATTACAGTCCCAATTCCTCCCAGCAGCCACCACTTCTGAAGGTTTCTTTCTTTACCTGGAGTAGGAGTCTCTCTTTGATGATGGTCAGGTGTCTGTTGGAGCTGCAAATGAGACTGATCCTCTTCCAAGTCCATCTTGCTGCAATATCTTCCTGTTATTTGGTCTGGCTTCCACAAGCAGCCTAAAATCTTGTTAAAAATATTTTTTAAAAACCTAACACTTAAAAAAAACCACACATATGTTCCCTTGTCACTTGACTTCCCGCCTAAAAGTTTTATCTGGGTGGGCCACAGCTGCAGATGAATTCTTCTTTCTTTATCACACTGCACAGGTATGAGCAGGGGAATGGCTGGTACTGCGTCCTCATCCCTGGGCACAGGTTGTTATTGATACAGGAACCTCTGTGGCACAGCCTGGTACCCGCAGCCTCCAGAACAGCAGTCATTTGGTTCTATCTGCCAGGAAGTATCTGAACTCCTTTCAGGACATGCAATAACTGTACTGGAGGTTGTGCCATACCAGGCTGTGGCCACAGGGCCTCCTTTTACAATACAGAGGTGGCCTAGTATAAGCAGAACACTGAACGAGGTTCCAGCTCAGGAGCCCAGGGCAAGCCACTTCCTTTTTCTGTGACTCTCTCCCTTATTTGCAAAATGGGCAAATAATCCACCTTGCCTATTTCATATTGTTGCTATAAAGTATATGTGTAAAATTAATTTTACTTTTTTTTCTGGATGTGGCTTTTTCTGCCTTAATATGTTGCAAAATAACAACATGAATACATCGCAAAATATGTTGCAAAATAATGTGATGTCTCACTGTGTATGCTGTTAAGACTTAGACAATAAATAAACATCAAGAACCAAATTAGGAATTCAAAGCCAGTTTGTATCTTTTTTTGCTCATCCTATCATTCGTGTGATTCAAAATAATCGATGAAATCCACTATTACTCATCCGAGGGAAAGTCTGAAAGCGTTTCTTAATGGAAAGATCACCACATTATGTTCCAGGAATTAAGCTGAAATCAAAGGAACTATCCGATCTCCAATCTATCATCCCATCTGTGAAGGCAGGCGGCACAGAGGACCATGGCTCCTCAGAAGGAATGCCGAGTGCCTCCTAGACGAGGCACCCAGCCTAGGAGTCATGGGGTTAACAGTGTGTGCAACAGCCAGATTGAAATGAAGAGAATTTGTGTTCCAGTGTTGCCATTCTGCACCTCAGTGACTTTAGGCGAGCTAGACAGTTAGCCATGGAGCTGGTTTGCCTATCTGCAACATGACGACAACATAAGTATCTATTGATAGATTTATTGGGATGGTTAAATCAGATAATGCCTAAGAGGCATTTTATATATGCCTAGCATATTGAATAAGTGGCACCTAACACATTGAGCTTCTTAGTAAATGTTAGCTGCTTATATTAATAATAAAACTATAGTAACCAGATTTTAGTAAACCAAGTCATAGTGTAAATGCATTGAAGAAACTCAGAAAATCTGAAGGATAGCACCTGTAATCCCAGCCATCAGGGAGGCTGAGGCAGGAGGATTCCAAGATAGACCCAGGCCTAGGGAGCTTAGTGACTTAGCAAGATTCTGTCTCAAAATTTAAAAAATGTTAAGGTCTGGGGATGTAGTTCAGTGGGAAGGCCCTGGGTTCACTGCCCAGTACTAGGGAGGTATGGGGGCGGGGTGGCACAGACCACTATAAACCAGGTATGGTGGTACACGCCTAAAATCCCAGCACTGGGAGGCCTGCATAGCTTAGCAAGACCTTGTCTCAAAAATAAAATAAATATGGGAGGCCAAGGCAGGAGGATTGCTGTGATCAGTCCCAGCCTGGATTACATAGGAGTTCAAAGCCAGCATGAACTACACAGCAAGACCTTGTAATTAATTAATTAATCTGCAGATATTGCTCAGTGGTAGAGTGTCTAGGGGTTCAATACCCTCCAAAAAAACAAAACAAAACAGAAACAAAAAAAGCCACATTGTAATGTGAATAGGCACTCCCTTACATCCATAGTCTAATTTTGTGTGTGCACTTTCTTCCTGTTGGAACCCAGGGCCACACACACATGCTCTGCAAGTGCTCTGCCTTTGAGCTATGCCTGCAGCCCTCACCATCTCAACACATTAAGAACCACAAGAGTCTGGGCTGGGGATTTAGCTCAGTGGTTCTGCCGCCTGCCTTGAAAGCATAAGGTCCCAAGTTCGATCTGCGTTACCAAAAAAAACAAAACTGGAAGAGTCCAAAATCATCTAGTCTTTCATATAAATATATATATTTTTTTCATTTTTTGAGACAGGTTCTCACTATACAGTTCAGCTGGCCTTGAGCTCACTATTGCAGCCCAGGCTGGCCTCAAATTCGCAGCAATCCTCCTACCTCAGTCTCCTGAGTGCTGGGATTATAGGCACTCCTTTTTTATATTTGGAGAAACTGAGAACCAAGGAGGGGAAGGATTCACCGGTCCAACATTTTTATTGCCAGTACCACCTCTTACTAATTCTGAGTTGGGTCATGTTTTTTTTATGCTTGATCCTGCCTGGGTATGAAAATTATGTGTAGAGGAAAGGTAAGAGAGAAACAATTTCTCAAGCACTCTGAAAAGTATGGAAAATAACCTGACACCCTAGTACCCATGACTAAAATCTAAACTGTTTTTTAATAACCAAATCCGAATGCCTAGCTTTATGTTTCTCAGTTTCCCAGGTTTTCACTTAAATAAATCTCTATATCTAAAAAGTCAGATGATTCAAGGAATTCCTATTCAAGGGAATCCTGGGAATGGCAATATTCTTTGTAATTTATCTTTTGAAAATTTTGGATTTTCAGATATAAGATTTAAAGATCTCAAAGTAACTTTGAAAATTATTAAAGTGTTTAACAGTTTAACATAGCATTTAAAATATTGGTCCTTTTGGAATGTTTCTTTGGTTTTTGGTCTCTCTTTTTTTTTTGACACTGGGGATTGAACTCAGGACCTTGTGCTTGCAAGGCAGGTGGCGGAACCACTGAGCTAAATCCCTGGCTTTAGTTTTTATTTTTGAAACAGGTTCTTACTAAGTTGTTAAAACTCCCCAGGCTGGGCTTGAATTTGCTGTCCTCCTGCCTCAACCTCCTAGAGTGCTAGGATTACAAGCATGCACCACCAAGCCCAAATGGGATGTTTTAATTCTTGCTAGTTAGATTATTTCTTACATTATGATAGCTCAATAAAGTAACTTTACCGAGTTGCTCTAGGATACCTTCTGAGGATACAGAGGTACTTAAATAGGATTATTCTTAGAGTTTATAGTATCCTGTGCAACAGTTCAGCAAGCCTGACTGCACACAAGGCTGTTGGGCTACACAGGTGGACAGTGTAGAACCTGAGCTCTGAGTGCCATAGACTCATGGAGGAGAGAAGACATACATCTTTATTGTAAAGAGATTGTATTTAGATTCTTCAGGCCCTGTGACAACTTCCTCAGTTGATTGCACCCCTGCCCAGTGTTCCCTATATCTAGAAGCAGAGTGTAGAGGGACTAGAAGAGGTGGAGTCGACTCAAATCAACAGCAAACCGAGGGCAATAATGGGTGGAGGGGACTAATGTGGGGGGAACTCTGGTGCAAACAAGATTAGAAGTCAGGCAAGGTGTCTGGTATGATAAGCAGAACAGAGCGGGAATTTGGGACAGAAATAGCCATACAGTTAATTCATAAGCCATAGTTTGTGGTCTTTTTCTATCAGGAAGAAAGTCCAGAGTTATTACCAGAATATGAAACATTAAGCATTAAAGGCCAGATATTTTAAACAAATGCCACCTTGTTCTGAAGTTTTGTGTATGTGTACATAAAACTTCCCTCTTGGCCACAAACTCCTGGGGGCATTACCTCTCCTGAGTCACCTTTTTGTCCACAGTGTGGTCTCATGGGCAGCTTGGGCCCGTCATTCCTATACATGCCCTCACTCCTGGACACAAGGCCAGCTTTGTGAACATGAAGCCTGGGGTGGTAGTATGCACAATTGAGGGGATAATGTTGCTGCAATACCATCATCTGTCCTGAAGGTCTTACAGTCATTCAGCCTATGTGCTGGAGATACAGCAATTAAGAGGCAGAGCCCTGGGCTGGAGATGTAGCTCAGTAGCTTAGCGGTAGAGAGTGCTTGCCTAACAGACACAAGGCTCTGGATTCTAATCCCCACCACCACCACCAAAAAAAAAATTTCTGCCTTTACAGAATCTACATTTTATTTCATTAATTTTTTTTTCTGGTACCAGGGATTGAACTCAGGACCTTGTGCTTGCGAGGCAGGCGTGGTGCCACTGAGGTAAATCGCCAGTCCAGAACCAACATTTTAATGGAGAAGATAAACAAACAAAATGTAAATATATCAGATGGTAATTAAAACTTTGGAGAAAATTAGCCAGAAATGATAGGAGGGTACAGGGGAGGATGATGGTAGCTGCTTTTTTTTTCTGGGATAGGATCTCACTACATTATCCAGGCTGATCTCAGACTCCTGAGCTCTCAAGTGATCCTCCTGCTTCAGCCACCTGAGTAGCTGAGACTAGAGGTCCATGCCCATATACCTGGGCTGCTCTTCCAATAGTGTGGTCTACTACAACTCTACTGTGACTGGTGAACAGGATGGAAGGAGGAAAGAGGCCAGCTCTGCTGATATCTGAGAAGACCTTCCTAGAACAGGGCACCAGCAATGGCCTATGGAGAGTGGCAAGGAGAAGGGATCAGAGAGTAGCTTGTTGCCCCTAGTAGGGATTTCTGCTCTGAGGGAGATGAATAGTTATGGGATGGTTTTGAACAGTGGAATGATACAGACTGACTTGAAAGTTTAAAGGATTATTCCAGCTACCATGTGGGATAGGGAGGAGGTGGGAGCAGGAAGACTGATCAGAAGGCCATCACAGTGATCCAGGTGGGAAACAATGATGGCTTGGACTTCAATGGTAGTGGGGAAGTGGTAGTGAGGTTTTGGATTGATGTACAAACTGAATATGGGTTGAGGTTTTTGTATGAGCAAATAAAAAAATAGAGCAAGACTAGGAGGAGCAGACTTGGAGATGATCAAGGGTTTACTTTTAGGTGTATGAACAGATTAGAGAGAACACAGCAAAGGAGCAGTCAGTGGGACAGAGGAAAAGCAGAAGTCTTGTGTTCTGGAAGCTAAAGTGAAGAAATGTTTTAAGGAGGAAGGATTGATCAAACTGTCAAAGTTTGCTAACAGGTGAAGTAAAGCAAGGATTGAGAATGGTCTTATCAATATATTTCCTATAATCTAGTTCAGTTCAATTAATTACAGACTGTAGTGCTCAGAGAGGTTAGATGGAGTCTTAGCCAAGAGCATACAACTTGGACCAGCTACATAATTTGCTGGGGCCCAGCACAGAATGAAAATGCTGGGCTTCTCCTTCAAAACTTATTAAGAATTTCAAAATGGCTACAACAGAAACCCAGCACAAGGTCCTACTTTTGCAAGTGTTTCACTGGATGCTGGGAGCATACTCATAAAATAGCTGTTACTATACTCATTTCTCAGATCAAGAACCTGATGCTTGCATAATGTAACTAAGGTCACAGAGTTAGACTGGTAGTCCAAATCTGACCCTCTTCCTACTAGACCAAACTAGGTATTGAGGAAAGGAGCTGTTGTCCTGCCTCCTGACCACCTGGAGCAAGAGAACACATTGCCAAGAACTCCTGCTCCAACGGTCTTTATGGTGTGGTTAATAAAGGGAGCACAGGGAAAATAGTTCAGCCCATATAGTGCATAGTTTAGTGGCCAAGGCTAATGTCATTTTAGGCTCTAATGATAGAATTTTAGAGCCCCTAAATCAGGGAAATGAGAGTGCTGCTACACTTTGACTTGTCAAACCCCACCTGGGGTGTCATACTGTGAAGACTATGTGAGTGGTTTGAAGCATGTATTGAAAGACCCAGGGTAGAAGGCTCTGCCATTTCCTGTCAGAGTAATTTGGGGAATATCTCTTAATTCTTTCTGATCCTCAGTTTCTTCCCCTATAAAACAGAAAAGTAATGCCTCACAGGGATTCTGTGAAGACTAAAGAGATCCTGAGAGCTTTATATGAAATGAAAAGCATTGTGTTGATGTCAGACCTATAAACTCAGGCAGTGTTAATAGTATTATTTGGAGTGTTCTAATGATGCATTTGGGCACTTTCCTAAAATACGTTTGGGTAGAAAAGTCAAGGAAGAGAAGACATCATGCACTTGTTTATCTTTGCGTTCCTTCCTGGCGAAAATATTTTCTCAAAGCTTCTGAATTCTTCTCAACAAATGGATGGAGCTTTGTTTTCCTAAGTAGGAAAGGAGAGTTTCTTGTGTCCTACTCTCAGTCTGTGGTCATGTGATAAATAAGCTCTGTCTCTGCTAACACAGATGCTACTGTACGAGTACAGATAATGTGTTCTGTAACTTCAGAACAGCAGGAGCCTGGCTTCCATCTCATTTCTCCACAGCCCCTCCTCTGGCCTCCTCCACTAATAGTGCCTTCTGTGAACCACTTAAGAGTTTGCCCCCGAGGGTCACTTGGGCAGCAAGTT